AATCCAGTGAATGTTCTATTTAAGAATTTATAAATCACTTTTCTATGATGACCACATTAATGACATGACAACATGCTGGTACTGTCAACGCTGAAAAAAGTTTGAATTTGACAGCAAAATGATGCTTCATTTATTGAATAATTAATTTATTACAAAAAATGTGATAAATGAAGAACCGCTCGACCGATTTTATGCAAACTTCACATAAACCATCTAATAAATAGTCCGAACAAAGCCTAAACATTTGGTTTGGCTAGGTGAGTCCGTTCTTGAGTTATAAAATTACAACGAAAAGTGGCATTCATTTTTATATATATATAGATATGGTACATACTATCGTTCTAGCCAGTCTGATAGGTCTTCTTTGTTCCAGGCCTTTAAGACGAGCTTTAAAACGAGCTTTAAAACAAAGCTTTAAAATAAGCTTCAGCCTTCAAGCTTTGACCTTTTAGAGTTGAGCCTCGATTTTTTTTTCCATCTTCTTCAAATTTCACCTCCTATCATCTACACGTTGAGCTTTGAGTCCTGTTTGTGATCATTACGTAAACCATCACATTACGCTGCTAAGGGCAAGTACCAAGATGTTGGACGTGGACCCCTCTATGGAACCACTAACTTCCGATTGCTGAACTTCAGTGCCCAGGGCTAGTTCCATATTGTCGCCACTCTGATCCAGCTTCAGGCCATCAGAACCACTGGGAAGCTACCACTCAGACCCCCAGGGTTCCTTCAACGAATAAGTGTTTACTCAGGTTTGATAATTGTGTTGCTTTGTCTGAGAACCATCAAACCAGGCGGAGTGCCTTCACTGTGTATCTTATCACAACTAGAGCTGTCGCAGTTCTCCCATTGTGACATTTTTCCAATCCTTCAGCCTTACTTTGAACTAATATTAACAAAGAAAAGACACCCTCCAGGTTAAGCTATGTAATATGTTTGTTGGTTCAGTCCGGATTCTGATTAAATATAGATATTACTCCATAGACACTACACTGAATGTTGCACTGAGTATAGTAGATACTTTGTTTTGTACACTGGGATTAAATGGCCATTTACGAAGGTTATTAGCAAACTTGTCAGTCGAATTATACAACGATTATACCTACATAAACATAAATATTTTAAGCTAGTTCAGGACTCAAAGAGTCATAGGTACTATAGAGTACATTCAGGCGGTGCCAGCGGCTAAGTTCAGCCACTCAGCAGGGACTTTATTCTCGAAATAGGGAAGCCGCGTTCTCATGAAAACGAAAGTTCTGTCTTCGTCGTCCGTATTCATATTTCCATATCACTGACAATGACAGAGCAATAGTTCTCATGAAAACGCTGTTCCTCGGTTTCGAGAATAGAGTCCCTGCTGAGTGGCTGAGCTTAGCCGCTGGCACAGCCTGAATGTACCCATTTACTATAAGGACCATTCAACTTATTATTATTTTTCGTGATTTATTAATTTTTAGGAGTACGTAAGGTTTAAGGTTAAGTTATACCTACTTTGATTTCTGGTCTGCTTTCAATGCATTCGATTTTCGATTATTGTTATTTAATCGTGTTCTTTGAACTAGGGCTTTCGGAAAACTCACTCCGAGCCTGCCCCAGAGTCAAATACGCTTCTATATTTATTATTATTAACTATGTTTAAGGTCATTGACGTTGGCATTGAAAGATAATTCGTACCTATCTTTAGAAATGCGTTTCACTTTCAGATGCGCTTCTCCCCTTTTTGGTGTTTACTTTAATATTTCAGGTTGTGTGGCTAGAGATAATTTAGCAGTTTCCTGCTCTGGTGATATCGATGGACTTCGTGTACTGCAGGGAAAAGCAGGTGGCGCTATAGTATTTTTAATTAACCCACGCCCCTCTTCGCTTTGAAATCTACATAGTAGTCGGCAACCCTTCGCACGAAGCCCCGTTCTACGTTGTAGCCACCAACCATTTTTTTTATGTAACACTGTCAGGTACACACGAAGATCAGATCTGACTAGATGGTTTGTCGCACCACTAACTACGACAAATTCTACATCACCATTTCCTGTCTGATTCGAAAAAGCTTCTCCTGTCTTCACCGGGATGAAACTTATGTCATTCTCATTTTTTTCAGTCACATAAGCTCGGCTTTCATTAAGACAATCTGCTTTTTTATGGCATCTTTTGCCGCAACCATAATATTTGTATGGAAACCTGCGTTTCTGTTGGTCAAATTTGAGTCTTCGTCTCGGTTTTCCCTTTCCCAGAAATGTTGAGCTACTTGACTCATTTCTGCATTCTTTTGCCTTGTTTCTTCGCACAATAACTTGCTCTTGACAAATTCTGATGGGTCTGCTGGTTCTAAATAAGTTTTTCGTAAATAAATGAACACTAGTGAATAAAAGAGCGGACTGTATCAATAAACTGGTTGAATTAATTAATGACCTCTGAGCTGGTCAACATTGAACTTGATGCGCAATAAAAACGTGAACTGTAACGTAACCGAACTTACTTGTGCATGAACCGTAGAGCGTTCATAGAATTCGGCATGGCCTTTTCACTTCATGACGGCGGCGAGCGGCGACTGCGACTGGCGAGAGCTCTCTCCTGGGGACCGATCCTCGAGCCAGGGAGTAGAGCTCCTCGAGAGAACAAATGTTTCGTCTTTATCATTCTTATTTACTTTTCGATTACGTTGACAAAGACAAAACATTCGTTCTATCGGGGAGCTCTTCTCCCTGGCTCGAAGATCGGGCTTCTGGTCATGTGTGTTTGGATGAACTTCCGTGAGTTTTTGCGCGCGCAACAGGAACTCAAGGTGCGAATAGCTGGATGTCAGAACGTGGGTAATATGAATAAGATCGCCCGCGTAATTCAAATTTCAGAACGCACAATAATAACAATTAATTACCTGAACTCTAGCAAACTAAACAAATTTCAAAGTTAAGGCCGTTTTACAGCTTGCAAGAAAACTTGAATGCAATAGGCTCGTTCAGTGAGGTTCCATTAACCACGTTTTAAAACATTATGCCTCAGAAATTCATCGCTTAGAGATGGTATGACGTCATCTCTCGAGTCAAGACGGGCTAAAGGCCGTCACACGACCAACTTGAGAGATGCAGTGACGTCACCGCGTGTTTCGAAATTTCCAAACTTGGAGCTTTTTGATAATTTATTTAAATATGAACAAGGGCTCGGAAAATTATGAAATTTTGCACAACTGCTAAACTCAATACGCTCTTTTAGAATATGTAATAAAAATATAATGAACGAGCCTATTGTTTGCATGCAAAAAAATTGCTTTCAAGATTTCTTGCACGTCGTTTTACACCTTGCAATTTGACTTGTTTCTTTCTCTAACCTTAACCATACTTTTTTGTTTTTAATGTTGTTTTGTTGATGTTTGCATTTTCCAAAAATAAAAAGTGATTATATAAGTCGATATAAAAAGAAGAAAGCAATAGCAGCAACTTTAAGCATCATAATTGCTAAAAATTCCCCAGCTTGCACGAAAACCTTCAAGAAAAATGGCACCAAACCGATTGCATGCAATGCCATTTAAGTTTAAGGAATCTTGCAAAAACCAATCAGCTGACTCACTTCTGCGCATGCCCTCGTTCAAGTTTCTTGCATATTGCAAATAGAATTGCAAGCTGTAAAACGGCCTTCACACTATTGTTAACTTGACAAAACATAACATCAAGAGCAGTCACAACGCTCTTTTATTAAGTCTCTGGCTGGCCTCGAATCTACTTTGAAACTCAACTTGCTCTTTGAAAAGGGACTATAACCAATCTGAACTCTATGTAGAAACTTTTTATAAAGCAAGAACAAGAAATAGCAAGAGTCTTGCAGCAAGAACAAGAAATAGGCTTGCAAGAAATTTACAAGAACAAGAAATTGAAAATTTCTTGTCTTGCCAAGCTAAGCAAGACAAGACAAGAACTAGCCGAGCAAGACAAGATTTCTTGCGAGCTGCAACACTAATTGCAATTGACGCTTTCTGAACTTTAACTGCGCAAGTTCCGGTGCACTCGTGGGTGGTTCTTGATCAACAACTTCAAGCACACCATGGTGCTCCAGCAACGATCTTACTCTGAACTCCCAGTTTGAGTAGCCCTTTCTCTCAAACGGTTTGATGCTGTATGCTGGTGTTGTTGTTCCAATCCACTTTTTCTTGCACAAAAACAACTTTTTTCGCGAGTTTTCCACGTATGCTTACCACGTTCAAACTTCAAGATTAGATCTCTCAATTTTTGCGATTTTTGTTCATTTATTTCAAACTTTCAACTGCAGCACTTAACGGGGATTGAGCCGCGCTATCTGGGCTCATAACCTGTTAACTTTCAGGGCTTTGCAGAACTTCAATTAAGCAAATACGGCGAAAATTGTTGAAAAACGTTTTTATTTGAAAGCTAGTTTCTATCAACTGACAGAAAACTGACAAAGCTATAATTGATTGACAAAACTATAGTTTTGACATGACAATGGCTACGATCACCAGAACCAAAACGGATTGTAAACAGTTTACAAATACCAACAGAATATGTTGGGTAAACTCTTGGTTCTACTAAATGATTCAACTTTTTAATGATAGAACGTCACCCTCTGAATGACAGGTCACCACACAAAACACAATGTTGAAAATTATAGGTAAACTCTCCCAAATTACGCTTGCAAAAATGGCGACCGTTTGTAAAACATGTTTGGTTTCAACATAAATTCAACGTAGCGTTCAGCAGAACAATCACAAACCGTTTACCAACGTTTGTATCTGGTGAACGCGGCCAATATAATGGCTGAACAAAAACCAGGGTCGGCTAACACAAATTGCTTTTTTCTAGTTTTATTTTTGATATCAATAACCAACCTAATCATTACTCACTAAAGTTTCTACAAAACTTAAGCTTATTTCTGGATGTTCAAAAAAAAAGCTACAATAAATGATGAATTATTGGAAATATTTCACCTTTCAAAAAATTAGATTATTATCTTAACACAGAAACCTAAAAGCATAAATGTTGTTTTGTTAATAGGCGTCAACGAGTCTATCCCAACGGAACCCTTTTCGTAGTACAGACTCAACGTAGAGAAGATGCCGGTACTTACACTTGTCAGGCTCAGAATCGACAGAGAAATTCTGCAAGAAGGGATGTTGAAGTGCAAGTTATAGGTAAGTGCCTCTCACATTTTTCCTGATATTTCATTATTAAAATCTATAATAGTGAATCGGAAAGAGTTATCGGTGAATTTATACAACTTTTCTGTCAATATTAGCTTTTCGAGGAAAACATCCAAACAAGCAAAATGTTTCCCGAATAAGAAAAATTACGGAACCATTGCCGGAGATTTTTCGGAAACAAAATCTTAATTATTCATGGTATGAAATATCTGTCGAACAATACTTATCCAGTTTTCATCTTCAGAGTCGGTTTAAGAGAATGTTGGTCATTTAAAGTCATCATCTCTGATCCTTATCAAGTTTAAACTCCAGGACAAAGGTCCAGTGAGGTAATTTCGAATTATGCCTGGAAGACACATATTCATTATTCTTAAATCAAGTTCGTCATCGTTTGAAGCCTCAATCGACCTCCCATTTCGGGTCGTGAATATTTAAAAATAGGAGCTAATGCCCTTGTCCCTTTCCAAACCCTTGTCATGATGTCAATTGTAGGTGTCACAAGTTACTTTTACCTTGTAAAATATGTAGAATTTGGGATTTTATTTGCAAGAAAAATCAGTATTTGCTGATATTGCTTTGTTTAAATATTTGGTTAAATACATTTTGCTGGAATCGTACTTTATTATTTATTCAATTGCAACGAATATTTCTATTTACATTAAATGTAATAACATATTAATATTTGTTTTATTATATTTTTTCTCTACTGGTTAATGTTTGCTCATGAAAAAGTTTTTATAGGTATTCAAATATTTATGTAGGACCAGCTTTTCTGATTTACGAGGCAAATGCCGAACTAAAAACCAAAATGAATGTTATTCAATCGCATATTCAAAGGAGAAAAACCCTGAAAAATCGGAGCAACCCTAGTTATTGGGAAACATAAGTAATAACATTAAAACCGGTAAGTAAGTTATAAATGATGATGCCGCCATCCGAATATAAATTCGGAGGCGGCAGCACTCAGTAGTAGATAGCGGCCATGCCATCCACGGTTTGAATAATTGCGGACGGAAAAGCTAGTCCCGAATTCGACGGCGAAATTGTCCAGAATAAAATGTTAAATAGTTTTTGAATTTCGAGGAAAATAAATGGCTTAAAGGTAATGCGGCAGGGACTGCGGCGAATTTCAAACACGGACGAGACTATTTGGAGATGGAGTAAATAAAACGGATCGTTAGAGATGATGGGGATTGGGTTTACTTGTTGCATAGTTGAATATAATAATTGGACAAGCTAAGGCTAACAAAGCTATAATTTAATTCAGCTTAGGCCCTGAGTTTCTACAGTACAGAACTTTTAAAACTCTCCAATCCCAGAAAAAAATGACAGAACAGCACTTTTTTGATGATAAACTACATCGGAAGAGAAATTACAGTAATCCCAAATAAATCACAATTCTGCCAGAAACAGCTTCTCAAAAGCTCATTCGTCTATTACCTCAGATTGCTCTAGGAGTTTCTTACAATTTGGAATACATTTCAATAGAAAGGGGGCCTTCAATCGATCAAAAACAAACTTACCAAAATCAACTATTCAGTAATAAATAGGAATAGCCTTATGGTAATGTGAATAAATCAAGTACTGCTGCAAAACGACTTCTGGTAATAATTCTTTGCCTAATTTATTATTATATTATTCTTTCCTTTGGTAATTTTACCCCAGTTGTTTTGTTCAACATTAATGAAAGTGCGAAAAGAGGATATAGGAAAGAAAAGAACGACAACAATGGATTGATTTATATTGTTTGCCGGTAATTTAATATCTTGTTTGTTAGTGTGTCAACACAACCACATACATAAGGTTGGAAAGTGATATTTCAAAAATGTAGCTGCACTTTTAGTTTTAGTTTTCCGAGAAAAATCTCCTTTAATTTATTTTGCTGCGCCAGCATTTTATAGGCTCGTTAACTTTAGAGGGTATTTATGAAAATTGCAAAGGACTGAATTGGGTTTTATCAACCCCTGCTACCTACCTATAATGGATACAATATGACAAAGTGATTTAGCTCGAGCTATTGCAAACTATTGGCCAAACTTCATTTTTCAGTCGTGTGCAGTCTACTGTTTGTTCGAAGTCTTACATTTTTATGTGCTTTAAGGTGTATTTGTAAGGGCTAAATCTGTTAAGTGCAATACGACAAGATATTATCATTATGTAGAGCCAATATTCGCCAGAGCTTGGTGCCCCAGTCAGGATTATTCACATCCTTTACCTCACTTGGTTTTCCCATTGTAAAACCATATGATGGTTAAATGGGGAAAAATACTGAAATTGTAACGACCCTGTGGAAAGACACATTCTGATTGTCCATTTCGCGACGCCTGCCACATCCCACAACAAATAGACATTTATCCGGGATTTTACAACACTAAGGTCCGATTTATCCATCTTCAGATAAACTTGCTGGTAACTATCTGCAAGATTAATTAACCGTTCTTCGATTCTATTCTACAGATTTCGTTTTTATCTGTCAGATTGCATACATGACAGTTTATCAGAAGGTGAATAAACCAGCCCTAAATGCAACAAAAATAACTAGTTTTCGCGCGACTTAATAGGTTACGTAATAAGTACCTAATTAACCAATATTGTATAACAAATCTAATTCAAACTTGCAAGCGAAACTCGAAACAAAATAACCAAAACGCGCATAAAAAACATATAATCATAACAAACTTGCTTGGCTGCCACGCCATATTGAATTTTTGTTTTGACAGATGGATTTGAGGTTATGTTATTTGATTTAAGGTTAGGTGTGGAACTTTTACAGCGACATCCATTGGTGAATTCAATGGGTATTCGTATCCTTTTCTACTAGCATCTAGAAAAAAGTGACGGATTTTTTTCTCTCCACCATTAAATTCACGACTTTGCTCAATGCGTTAATTTTATTTTGTAACGGGCGGCTTTGGAAAAATATTTGCACTTGTCATAATAGCAAGTAAATAATTCAATAGTAGCGTCATATTTTGTCAGTTCCACTTTTCAATTATAAAAGTAATGGCCCCAACACTGAGTTTACAGGACAAAATAGAGCTAGTACTGATATGCGGTGATCATTATCGCAGTACTAGAGAAGCAGCGGAAATTTTCAATGGAAGACATCCAGGCAGAGACCTATGCTTCACAGCAGTTGCGAAAGTTTTGAAAAAGTTCGAAAATACTGGTTCAGTTGAAAACCGATACAGTAAAACTCCGCATACACGTCCCGTAACTTCAAAAGAAGAGAATGTTTACAATGTTGTATTGAATGTCACCGAAACACCAAGAGTGTCGACGCATGTTATATCGGACAACACAGAAGTTACTAAAACCTCCGTGAGGCGAATTTTAAAAAATAATAATTTCCGTCCGTATAGACCAAAATTTGTGCAAGTACTCCGGGACAGGGAATATAATGCCCGATTTGATTTTTGTGCATGGTACCAGGGAATGCTAGAAGAAAATCGTAATTTCTCGAGAAATGTGCTTTTTTCCGACGAAGCCACTTTCAGTTCGTATGGTGCGGTTAATTCCCAGAATAGGGAACTTGCACATTTTTTTTTTTATTTCAAAAATGTGTTGTACTACATAGTCATGCCAAATATCAAGCATTAAAAATCAGCCATTAATTTTTTATAAATTTTTGAAGTTAAGCGGCGTTTCCACATGCATAGTTTATTGGCGCCAGTCGACTGGCGTAACTTTTCTGGCGCGGGGAAACTCAGAAAATTAGCTGGCGCCAGTTAACTTGCGCCACTTATTCATGCGCCAGTAAAGTAAAATGGAGGTCTACTTTTTGGCCGTTTTTGGCGCCAATTTGCCATGTGTGACAGTTTGTCAAAAAAAAAAATACAAAAGCTTTCACTATTCGTTTTCAGAAAAGTAATGGAAACGTCAAGGTAATCTAAAAAATTGAACATATAAAGTTTATGGAAGAGCATCCCTGCTTGTGGAATCACAAACTTTTGTGTTAAAAAGCTAGGAATAAACGGGATAATGCTATATAAGGATAAGTGTTGACGTATTGTGCGAGTTCTCGTGTTCTTAAGTGGTTTTGATATCACTGCTGCCGAAAGCAAAATAAGAAGCTTTGGAAATGCCTCATGGTCTCCATCCGTTAACTCAGACAGTAAATTATTTGATGCTCCTAGAGCTTTTCTGCGCGAAATCCATTTTCGTATCCAGATCTTGTGTTTATGTTTCTTTTTCTTGTTTTTTCGGGTCTTCTGCAATAATTCTAGAAACAAAATATGCACAGCAACATTAAAGTTGACGCCATATTTCATTTATCTACTGCGCCAGTTAAAAAAATTTGATATCAAGTGGAAACAGATACTGGCACCATTATTATTACGCCAGCAAACTGGCACGTGCACTGGCGCCAATGAACTATGCTTGTGGAAACGCCGCTTTACGCTCGAAACATCCCCATTTGAAACGACCTATTAGTGTGACGTCACTCAGCAACAAAATTCCGTTCACAGTCCTTAGTTGACAGTGACCTTCGAGCAGGTAGATTTAGATTATGGTTATGTTGTTATGTATGCCGTTTATGATAGATTTGACATTAACAACACCAGCAGCCCATGGCGTGGCAGCGGTGCGACCCGATTATTACTGCCTTGTGACGTTAGGACCCATAGAAATACGTTTTTGATCTCGTCAAGAATTTCGAATTATTTGGTATTTTCAATTGACGATTTTGGAAACCAGAGATAAGATATTATATCCTTTTCCTAATTGCATCATTTATTGGGATGATCGTTATTGTATTTTATTATTTATTTCATATTTAATTTAATGTGCAAGTTTCCTATTGCAGGTGGTGGGCAGATCACAATCAAAATTTCATTATTAAAGACCAGTATAGTTTCAAAGTAAATGTATCATGTGGTATTTTAAATGATAGACTGGTGGGTGTCTTCTTCTTTAGACAAAATTTGGACAGTGAACGTTATTTAACTTTTTTAAAAACGGAGATATCTTCATTTGTCGACAACCTACCTTTACGACAAAGTATCATCAGTTTATTTTTCCAACAGGATGGGGCTTCAATTCATTCTACAGGTGCGGTGCAGCGGTAGCTGCACAAAGAGTTCGGTGGACAGTGGATAGGTCGATATTCAAATTACCCTTGGCCTGCTAGGTCACCCGACCTTACATCACGTGATTTTTTTTTATGGGGTTATTTAAAAAATAATGTTTTTAAACAACGCCCATTTCGTAATGTAGAACACTTAGAAATGTGTATACGAAATTGCGCAGCACAAGACGATGGAGCTATGTTGAGAAACGTACGCGAAGAAATGTTTTCCAGAACAGTTAAATGTATGGAGCGTGAAGGCGGACACGTTGAATTTTGAAAATATAGTTTTTATTGTTAAATAGAAAGTATTCGTTTATTTGTTATTTTTCTGATGACTAGAAAATGTGCAAAAAGGTACATGGGTACAGTTATAGCGACACGACTGGACGGTATTTTCTAATTTATGCCCTTCAAGTGTGTATTTCGCAAAACAATCGATTCGTTGGATATCAAACTTAAAATCTGTTTTTTTTTTTAAAGATAAAAGTCAAAATGACATTATGTTGGCAATACAATGTAAAATTGTTAATGCTTTCAAATTTTTTATGTAGAAAAGGCTTGTGTTGCCAACATAGTTACTAAATTTTTGACTTGGGGAATTATCTTTAAAAAAAAAACAGACTTTATGTAGTTTAGTTGAATAAAGCTATTTTTGAAATAATAGTATATTATATACCTAGGTAGAGAAGTTGGTCATTATATATACCGAGCGCTTTTATAAACCGAGGCGCAAAGCGCCGAGGTTTATAATGCGTGAGGTATATAATGACTTTCTCTACCGAGGAATATATAGAATTTTTTTTACTACTGCTAGTAGAAAATAAAAAATTAGCTTAAAATCTGTACTCTAATTATTTTTTTTTGAACGCCCTCTTGAAAGTGCTGCCCTCTATCAACAGCTTATGATAACTTCCTATGTACCTACAGAAACCTGTATTTTGTTTTAAATTGACGCATGAAATTGAAATTGGACCAATAGAAACATGACAATATCCTTGCGTCATGACGTCATTTTCATTATTGACCTAGGGACTTTTTCATTATTTTCATTATTCACCTAGGGAGAGAAATTCAATTTTTTCCTAGAAAAATAGATTGAATAATGACTATTTCTCAGGTAAGTAGTAAAAAAAATTAATATTTTCGATTTTCCATTTAATGGTATGGGTAAAATAAGTAGTTTTATTTTTTTTTCTCTGATTTGCTTTAAAATCGGCATGTGGAGTTCTTTTTGGATTCTGAACAACTTTTTCTCATAAATTTTTTTGATATCTTGTCAAATTTACCCGTTTTTCGACATCAATATCAACTTTTTTCAAAATTCCCGCTTAACCGATATGCGCATGACATTGTGTCATAATCTATTTTTTGGTTATCGAACATGCCTAAACGATCCCCAAAAAAAGTTTTTCGAAAAAAGGAATAATTAAGAATTTTCCCATATGTACCCAACTTTATGGCGCACACTGTACATATATGTATAAGAATACTCACCTTAAGGTAGTCAATAAACGTTTTTCGGCAGAAACACTCTCTCTGTAGTTAGTATTTTTCTTTTTTATACATGGTTCAACTAAGTAATAACTTATATGTATTTTGAGTCATTCGATAATATAACTGAAATTTTTCATCGTCGTGCTTTAAATCTTGAGAAACTTTGAAATTACCAAAGCTTGCCCAATCCTCATTATATGGATGAACCCAGTAACGCCTTCTTCTTCTCCTTCTTCTTCTTCTCATTAGTTGCCACATTAAAAATCAGTCTTCAGACGACGATGAAGACGACAACATTATTCACTGCTATCTTTGTTCACCGTAGACTTCACCACAAATGAATTGTTGTATGCGTTTGGTGTGTGTGTGTATGGTACATTCGTCGCGAGCGCAAATGTGGCCTAAAAATTGTAGCGACACAAATATTCCCAATATGTGGCGTGTCTCTTCGGTGTGCGGCCCGACTTATCCAACATGAATGAGGAAAAGTTAGTATAAAACATCCTCAAGCTAACCAAATAAATGATACTGTCGAACCAAACCCAGATTCAAAACAAAACTTCAACTAATAAGGAACTTTGAATGAGATCGAATCAACTTTACTGTCGAAAGCAATATGAAATAGAAGCCAAAAGAGAGAGATATGTTTCAGCATCCTATTATTACTAGTTGATAGGCCTGTCTCCGCCAGGCAAATAAAATTGTTTGTCATATTAACAGAAGAACGTGTACGATGTAAAATTATTAAAAAAATATCTATTTTTTCCGCCACTCCAGGCAACTAGGAAAAAAATGAACTTTTTTTTCAGTGGTCAATTTCAATTTTGCAAGTTTTTCAACTGAAAAGAACTATTTGGCAACTCTGAGTACGTTTATCTCGTAAAATCAGGATCCGATCGACTTGATCCCATCCAGTGAATCTCCGTTTTTGTCATAAAATTAATTATCCGATCGATAATACCTCTTTTTTCCATCGGATTCAAATAGAAAAAGACCGGCCGAGTTAAACAAAGCAAAAAAATCTCATTTTTCAATAAATTTGTGGCAAACTTCCATGAGAGGGGAAAGGGGAGAGCAGTTTCTGATTTTTACAAAGATAGTAGTTGGTACTAGTAGTAGATTGGTTGGGCAATTCATCACCTCCAATAACTTAAGGTTGAAAAAAGCTTGGAGAATGTATTTTGCTTCAGCTTGTAACAGCAGATAAGCCAGTGGCTCCCGATTTCATCATTCTCAAAGAGATATATTGCAATTGCAAAACGGACTGTAGTAAACTCTGTAGCTGCAAAAAATCAGGTCTGAATTGCTCCAATCTATGTGGTCAATGTCAGGAAAACTCTTGCAGCAATATATTCAAAAAGTATCCATTTTTGTTTAATTTTAAGTAGGTAAATACTTTTCTATTTTGTTTTATAAAGGTAAATAAATAAAGCGTTCAACAATGAAAATTATTATATTTTATTGTCTTAGCACTGAAGTCAGAATTTTAATATCGCTTTTATGCATCTAATTAATGTAGTTGGTAATATAACAATAATTAATTATTACCTGGCACCTTCAGGTTTTTCTCTCCCGCTTGTATACCACTGGATACACTATATAACATCGTGTAATGTATCAATTTGTAGGCAATTTTATTTTCTTTAAGTACTTACCTTCTCTTGAAAATTTTCAAAAAAATAGACCGCTAGCGAGCTATTGGTAAAAAACAAACAAAACTCACTTTAAGGGGTGGTTTGGGGATGTTCCACCAACTGGACAGCTAGGAACTTTTATTATATTAAATAGAATTGCAAATGTGATAGAAAGATGCAACTTTCAACTTTAGGTGATTTTTTTCCATATTCCATATTCCAAATAAATTCCCTGGACGATGGATAATTCCTACTGATGATCACGATATCGTCTGCAAATCTCAGATGGTTCAAGGGTTTTCTGTCACTTTTTCAATTTTTTTTCTTTATTTTCATTTCTATAGCAAGCAACTTTTTTTGCTGTTTGAATAGTACCTGTTATTTTTTTTGAATGTGGCTCTAACCAGTCGGTGGTCACTGCCTTTGTTAAAGTAGTTTAGTACAGAGACATCTAGGCAGATTTTCTTGTCCGTTGATATGATCGATTTTGTTTTTTACCGTGCCATCTGGGCTTTTCGAAGTCCATTTTCTTTGAGGTTTCTTAAAGAAGGTGTTAAAGCAGTGGAGATTTTCACGACAGAGAAAGTCTAGCATTGCCTATCCTCTATGATTTCGTTCTCCCAGCCCAACATTTCCGATGTTATGCGAGTCTGATGCATTTCGTCGTCCTATCTTCGCATTAAGATCTCCTAATAATATTTTAGATTTTATTCTTTCAGAGTTCATTGCTACTGATGTATCTTCGTAGATTTGTTCGCATTCTTTTTCTGGAGATTTGCTGGTTGGAGCTTATGTTTGGATTATTTGTATGCTGTGTATCTTGTTGAGCTGTATCATGATATATTATGTATATGAGTCTGTCTGAGATTTCACGAGTTTTAGTAATTAAGTCATTCACAAATCACCAAAGAAAGCTCCGCATCCGTTTCCTAGGATGTTTCCTAACAATAAGAATTTAGTTCTCTTGTTCACACCAGACATATTTATTTTTTATTTAAATTTATGTCACAAAGAACTCCAGTTCTAGATCGCGTTTATCCTAGGAATTTTATTGTTGTCGAGAAAACAAGACTAGATAAATCCGGAGTACGATGTCGTTAATAAATACCGCGTAGTAGCGTAGTAATCAGTTCAAATACGAATAATTTACCTAATGATCAAAATTTATTATTCGTTTCAGTTCCTCCAAAAATCCTGCCCATCAACCCGATGACCGATTTGCTACGAGAAGGCATGAGGGCGGCGATCACGTGCCAAATTATGGAGGGCGATCTGCCAATAACTTTTCGCTGGGAAAGGAACGGAAAGGTTTGATTCATTTTTTTCGTATACATTTTTAGTCTGTTTAAGGAAACCACATTTTTTCTCTTTATTGTTTTATGGGTAAAAAATAAACCGCAAGAAAAAGAAAAAAGGTTTTATCCGAATTTATACGACTGGTTATTCGTTACCATATTTAGGTCGTAGATCACTTAAGCTTTATCGGTTTGTCGGTGTAGGAGGATGAAAAAGATAAATGGAGCCTTTTTGATATCGGGCCATATTTTGCTCTTAGACTTTTTGTAAAAACCTCAAAAAGAAACAAATGTGGTGCCCTTTGTTTTAGCAATGTCTCGGTATAAGTAATTTTGTTTTTTGTTCGTTTTAGCCAATAATAAACAACGCAGCTCTCGGTACTGCAATACGCCGTATCGACGAATTTTCTTCGTCTTTGATTATTGATCAAGTTAGCTCGCAGCATAGCGGAAATTATACTTGTATAGCTAGCAACGTAGCTGGGAATGAAAAATATGGTGTACCTCTCACTGTCAATGGTAAGTAAACTTATAAATAAGTCACAAGCAAATTTAATTGCGCAACTATATTACAAACATCAACCAAAAGTTCCTTTAAATAAAGTAGGTATATAGATATATTAACAAAAAACTTCTCCAACTTTATTCAGAATCAAAAAAAAAAATAACGTAAAATTTATCGCCGAAAAATATACATTTTGGATACTTATTTAGTTGGAGGAAAGTTTCCTTGTTTCGTCTACGAAAATTACAGCCCCAGAAAAGCTTTTGGAACAAATCGAATTCGCCACTCTCTGAGATTTCTCTCTACAATTTCCTTTCGCAAGTCAATAAGAAAAGATAGAAAGTCGTTTTTTGAAAAATTGAGTGGCAGAATTTACATACTTCCAATACACTATAAAGTGAATAGAACAAAATGAATTTTGAGAAACTTTCATTAAATAGCCAATTGCCGCTTGAAAAAAAATAAACAAATCTTTTTTAAACTCCGGAAAAAACCCACAAAGTGCTTTCGAAACTTTTTTCTTTGCCCCTCCATCAAAGCCCATCACATAGCAAATCCCGAAACTTTTTTTCAGATGAAAAACTTGCGAATTCAATTTGTCCGAATCACTTTTCGGAAAACAATTTCCAGCTGTGCGGAGCTCTGAAACAAGGAAAGTTTGCGAAACAGCGCATTAGTGCTGTGTTGTTTGTATTTAACTCGAGTTTTCGGGGCAGAGGGATGCTGATAATAATATAGATACATACTGAAAGGGGGATGAGAAAATATGAAAGCATACGAATTGGTGGATTCATGTTTCTCCTAAAAGTAATTGGGGAAGTTTTTTGGGAAAAAAACACAGAGGAAATTTGATATTGGGGCAAGAGAAAATTAGGTTGTAAACTTTGGTGGGAAATATTTCTTGGGGCGTTAATGAGATAACAAAAAAGTGCTTTAAAGCACTTGCACTTGACTAGGGAAAATAATTAACAAGAGCTTCTGTTTGCTCAGAAGAACCCATAACTGATTAATGAGTTAAAAATTTGACTGTTACGTAAATTGTTGAGGTTATGAAGGATAACATGCTTGGTAATTAATGTGTGTTGTTACCAAAAAAGCGAGGTTAGGTACTCCAAAACTATTCAAAAATAACATAGGAAATTCACATTACTTCGGGCTGTCATACTGGACAGTTGTGCTTTCGTTCTGCAGCTCCACGAGTATTACAAATTTGATTTGTTTTTACTCAGTTTTTTTGGAATTGATTTGTTTTGTTCGCATCACATCGTTGTGTTCGTTTTCGTTGTGCGTGTTGTTACAAATAAACTTAGATTTGTATACTTTAAGATAAAGATAACCCAGGGTCGTGAATTCAAAGAAAAATTAAGTAAGATAACGTGTACTCCCTTTATGTGCAAATGAAACCACTCAACATCCAACAAACAATAATTTTATTTTATTTTGTTTACAATGTTCTGTGTAATTTCAATGTTAACAACTTGGTTTTTCTTGGTGAATCTGATACCTAGTATGTACCTTTCCAATCCGGAGCTTTTCAAGGGGTGTTGGGGTTTCACTTTCGTGAACTGGAGCTTTTCGTATTGTTTCCTGTATCCAGGAAGAGGATAGATTGCTGGGGTGACGTCACTCCAGCTGATCCAGACTCCAAACAGTGATCTCCATGCAGAGCAGGCACCCAGAAAAGAATAAGGCAGTATCAGGTTCACCAATATTTGGAACATTAAATTCCTGAATTCTGTCAAAAAGTGAGTGTCTTGCAAAGGAAATTGAAGTTGAAATTTGGTATAAAATGATTGTTGTACAGACACTCCCTTTCAACAGAATCAGGTATGAAAAACTATTGCAAGTTAAAAAATTAATATTTTAATATAAAAAAAAAAAACAATTAAATAATTAAGATTAATTGTAAGATAATAAAAAAAAATAATAATAAGATTAAATTAGAATGCTCGTTACAATTGAGCAAAATGCTGCTTCCTTGAAAAACAGCTCTGGCAGGCAAAAATACAAGAAAAAATATGAGCAAAAATAAGGTGAGTGAAAATAGTACATTAAAATACAAGTTTCATAAGACGTCATTTTATCGCACGAGCCCTATATTAGAAAACGAGCCGGAGGCGAGTTTTCTAAAGGGCGAGTGCGATAAAATGTCTTATGAAACGAATATTTTATACTATTTTTTCTATTTTGGTATTGTTTAATTAAAAAAACAAATTTTTCTTGGAAATTTTATTCTCATATTTCCTGATTTCATAGTTTAGGTTGGTAACACTACATGCCAAATATAGAAATCTTCTATTATAAAATAGCGAATGACAGTTTGATGGCCATCAGTCAGTCAGTGTCACCAACCTCCGATAAGTAAAAAAGGAGTGTCACAAAGAGCTTCTTTTCGAAACTACTTTTAGTGTCGAAAAGACTTCGATATGACACCAAAATAGAAAAAAAAAATTAAGATATCAAATGTCTGGATTCCTCCCCAAATAGACAAAATTCTTACCTCGAATTAGGTTAGTTACCACAGATACTAGATAAACCTCGAGATAAACCTAGGGTTGAAATTAATCAAATCCAGAACGTGTCAAAATTCTTGAGATGTTTCAATTGACGTTTTCAATTAAAAGAGATGGACGATAAGTATGAAAACATTCATTTTCCCGCCAAAATTTGCTTGCTTGTCAATGTCAATGTGTATTGGGTGTTTAGCAATCCCCTCATTTATATTTGAATCGGTGACTTCACCAATGAGTTAGCTATCTTTGTTAAGTGAATGGAAAATGACAATGACGGACATAGAATGATGGATCCATCGGTAAAATTTGATAATAAAAACGCAGGGTTTGAAATTGGGAAGAAAATGTAGGAAAAGTCACTGCTTCATTCGCAGAACTTCGCTATTGAGCCGGTAGTGGATTATTTTGGAAGCAAACAGTTTCTGTAAACTAAACTTGAACGTGGATTACTTTGTATACTTGATGGGCTGTGGATTTCCCTTTCTTTTGCGAGTATCCTTTCTGCATACTGATTTTGTGTATCCAAGTTTTGACAAATGTAGGATTTGATGGAAACTTATGGAAAAACACGTCCGCCGGTGAATAGGAATAAATAAGAATTAGTTTTATGAATAGGCACACTACACACAATCACCATTGTTAAGAAAAAACCTTGAAAAACCCGAGGAAATAATAGTTTCTTTCAAAAATCTTGTCTACAAACCACTGTCAACGGCTGTCAACATTGTTTTCATACTCTTTTGGCGTCTGACAGTTTGATGCCATAAAGAGAGGTTTTTAAATTAAAAAGGTCAATTAAAACTTTTAAACTGAATTTTTGACTCACAAATTTGGTTTTTACCGACTCTATTTAGAGCAAATTCCAAAATCCAGTTTTCCTACACTAAAAATTGATTCTGAAAGCCAGAGCAACAGTACCTTTTTAAAACCAAAAATCTGTCTTGTCTTGACTTACCAATTATAACAAAACGTGGCACTAACCAATAAGCAAAGTAATTCACACAAAATGGAAGCCAACAATTAGATTAAAAAACATTTAAAATATAATATTTATATTTCAAAAAAACAGATAAGATAAGGTTTATCCGTAAAAACCTAATAAAGATAGGATAATTTGAATATTGAAAAATCTATAGGGGAGGATCCAAAAATTCAAAGCACAAAATTATTTAAAAAAAGGAGGACTTGCCTGGCCAGAGTGTTCTTCAAGAAGAGATCGTTTTAGAGAACCAAGCTAGCAGGAAAACGAACCTGTGTTTTTTATACTTACTGCATTCCAGCCAGTTTGAACCAATCAAACGAGTACACTCGAAAGACCATATTCACTTCAAAATGAAAAGACCGCATGGAATAAACGAAAATAGATAAAAATCCACTAAAACTATTTTAATTGTTTACAAATTATAATAATTTAAATTAAGGTTATGTCAAAGATAAAAGACTGTTAATTAATGGACCTTTCTCATGCAAGGAACAACAAGGGTAGTTTATTAAGATTTCTGCAATAAAGAAAAAGACATATAATGACGCGCGATACCTGTGTGGAATGACTTTGATTGGTCCACGTCAAATTGTGCAATTTCGGTTATGTTTCTGTTTTTGTTTATTTTTAAACGTAAATATGACAAATATGTACCTATTAACATTAATTAGAAAGAAAACCCACCGCAGCAAAAATGTTTGCAGCAAACCTTTAATTGTACATTATTATTGTAGGTATTTGATATAAAAATCGTTATTTTACGAACCCTCAAATCTCTGTCCCAACTTAAATCGTCTTCATTCGGATTGAGAGCACGTAACTATTGTTTTCTTACAATTTGATTGCCTGGGAACTTGTGAAAAGAAAGGTTTCACTTCTTTTTCGCCTAATTCTGACAAGAACTCATTCAACTCATTTGAATCATTGTAATAAACAGTTTTTGTATTAATTTTCAGCAATATTGATTGATACTGATTGATTATTGAGGTTAGCTTAAATACGTCAGGGTCAGACCGTGTTCAGTAAATTGACGATTTAATTATCTGTCACCCACAAGATGCGCGCGCAGCACAGGTAAAATAAGAAAGGTCCATTGGATCATTAAGCCAAAAATGAATATTTAAAAATCAGAAGGTAAAAAAGGACAGAAATATATCCATTTGCTAAAAGTGAGATGAATATAATTTCTTTCAAAAAAATACAAATTACTGCCAAAATGCGAAATAAGAAATCAAACTTTGAAATATAGATCAGATCGATCATCGCGCACTAGATGGCAGTACTAAAAAGTAAATTCTTGATACTTGCACTTTACGCAAATATAGATAGATGGCAGCACTTGTATTACTTGAATTTAAATTTGAATTTAATGGATATTTTTAGAATATTGGAAATTATTTTGAATTCTGAAATGAAAAAAATACAACTTTATAATGAAAATAAGAAGAGATGGAACATGTTACGTAAATGATAAATTTATCGTAACAGTGTATTTCATTAACTTGACCTTGATCCGGTTCTTAAAGTTATTTAACCTTATCATAATGGCCGATCTCAAATGTAATACCTATATACCAAAAAGGCGTTTCTGAAAAAGACTAATACAAACTTTGCTGTAGTGGTGAGTGTCGCCGGTATTTCTGCATGAACTGCACTGGCTTGGGCAAAACAACTACAAAAGTCCTCCACTAACAAAAGTACCACAACATAAGATTCTGCAGTGTTTGTGATTCTTCTACGTTAAAATACCTACAATAAAGTAGGTAATACATCTACATAATTCGCAAATTCCTATGGAATATGTCAAAGCTCTTGGAACCTGTTTGAAAAAAATAATAATTCTTCCTGTCATGACAGAAAGGTACGACATTTTGAGTAGTCATGACTTCACGTAGAAGCTACTGTGTAAAAAAAAATAGCTGACATTCACAGCTACCAAAGATATTTTCAATTTGCCATCTGTTTTCATGGAAAATCATGATGTTTCCTGCTGGCTAAAACGGTAGTTATGAGACTTTTGATTTAATTTTTTTCGGTAATCAATGGAACTTTGCCTTGCGCAACTTTATTTCGCTAAACTAATGCCTGATGACCGATAAAGTACTTTACTTCACGAAAACAATTGAGAAAGATGGCTGCCCCCCAGGCCAGAGTCGACCTTTCAGGGCCAATGGCAAAATTTAAAAGGGCTGAAGAAAAGGACAAGCTGAACAAGCAGAACTTCCCTTCAAAAAATAGCCAACGGAAACTGTTGGTACTAAACTGATACTTCAAATTTAAACGAAAAGCGTGCCCTCTAGATTAATAATTGCTATTATTTTCGACAGAAACCTACTCTTAAGTTCTTTCAATAATGGCAGTCACCAGAGTGTCAGCATTCAAGGCGATAATTTAATTTATAAAATAATATGTAGGAAAAAGAAAAACAGTAACATTTGGCATGTTACACACTGCGTCTTTGTACGACTTGCAAACTACTATTGATGTGGTTGATTCTGTGAAATTTTCGGGCCTTATTAGGCATAGACAATTTCCTGAAATGGAGCTCGCACTTCGATTCTTTATCAAAAAAAATTAGTTTTGCTTGTTTTGCGTTGAGATCAGAGCTTTACTTGTTGTTAGGGCCTCTAACTGAGTTGTCATCATTTAATTTAGGGATAGATCACTGGATCATAAAGGGGATGGGAATGTTACTGCTAAATAATGCATTCACACTTCCAGTTTATATCTCTCTATTGTTGCCAAAATAATCGTTTAATAAAGTAATAAATACTGTAACCACATTCAAGTACTTTTAATTATTCACAGGTTAGTTAACAAGTCGCATTTGAGTTATTTGAGAACATTCACTAATCGGTATAAATTTGCTAGTTGTAAGTGCTCAATAGTCAATTTAACAATAATTGTCAGTATTAGCGGAACGCTAATATTTTAATTAAGAGCACAAGATAAAGTTTATTCTTAATAGAAATCTTCGGGAGTTGAGAGTTTTTATATTTTTAGAGAGCCCTTAAAAAAGGGGAGTGTGATTAACTCAATGTTTTACGCGATATTATATCACTTGAGTTTTCAAGCCAGCAGCCAGAGAGATAAAAAAAATAAGTCTTTTTATTTAGAGAGCGAGAGAGAGACTGCACAGGGTGCAACTAGAGAGAATAATTAAATATTAGAGAAAAGTGAGCAGGTTCAAACTTGTATAGAGCTAGACGTTTTTACGCACGATTTACTGCCAGTGAAACCACACTACTAAAATCACAAATCACACTGCGAAGTGAAAAATATAAGGAATGCATTTTTTCCCTTAGCGACAACAACCCGACTGGATCGATACAGTACAGCCTGGTACGGCGCCAGCGGCCATCGAGCTTTCACGGCGGGGGCCTTTTTTCAACGTTGCCACTGTGATCATAAAAAATAAATACGATTGTTTGGCTGTTTCCACAACACTTGTCATCTTTTAGAACAGTCTACTTTGCCATTTTCAAATCACATCCTCGATACGCTCTTCCATTCCGGGGTACGTGCAGTGCGACTCAATTTGAGCGTATCTTTAAATAACAAAAACGAGCTATCTTCTGAAATTAAAAAATAGAGCCCATTGCCAAGATTTTTTTTTTTAAATGTAAAATATAAACACTCCCTTCCCTATTCATATTTAAATCAATCGGCTAAATTCGCCAACACTTATCCAGTATTTCAGAAAGGCCATTCCATAACTATCCGATGAGAAACGCGAAGCATGATGATCTTTATTTGCCAGCCCCATCCTTTGGGTTAATTGAAAGCTTCATTCTACACAACGCAAAAAAAAAAATGCACAATCATCTGCCAGTAATAATCAAATTCATAGCATCTCCTCTCAAATTTCAAATAGCTCTAAGATAGCCTTATATGAAGTGAATGACTTTTTTCTGAAAACATATTTTTGAGCGCTCCACACACTGGATCATTGTTTATGTATAGTTAATTTGTTTATTTTTATTTTTGTTTCGACTTTGTATTGACTGTTGTAGGTGTATTATAATATTAAATATTTTTAATCATTAGGCTTTGTCTACAAATTATATATATTTTTTTTTGACAACCAAGCATTATTATCTCGATTATTATTCTTATTCTATTCTATTATAATTTCATTCATTAAAAATAACACTCGACATTATACGCATTAAATCTAAATTCAGAAAATCATTAGGTAGGTACTTTGCCTCAGATTTCAAAATTTTGCACAAAGAGAATACATTTCAGAAATTAAATTATCTTGAAGGTCTGGTATATTATTAAATGAACAATTAGATGCTAATAATTGTTACCCAGTCCCCCATTATTAAATTTATATACATGGTAATATAATTTTCACCCCATTATTGTTATTGCTTTTATATTGTCACGGCTTTGGTTTGCCGGACAGAAATCTTGGGTTCGTTTCGTTTATTCCAAAAATCAAAATCCAATTAACACAGCAATAATTTATTCCACTTAACAATACACTCTGACACTAATTACTTTAATAACTAACTCAACAACTAAACTCTTACAACTCGCAATAATAATCACTATTTAAATCGTATCACAGTCAAACTGGAACTTAACTTACAAGCTAAAACCCGTCCTTATATATAGTCATAATTTATTCCTGTAAATTCCAGAAGAACCGCGATCGATGTTGTTCCCGAACATCACGTAAAATCTCGAATCTGCTATGCGATTCTTGACACACGTGGCCGTTGCAATATCTTTAAGTACCTATTTTTTAATAATGTTGTTACCTGCTAGATTGTATATTATTCAAGCTTAGTATATTAGTTTAGTTAATCACTCTGAAGGAGGTATCGTGTAAGAAACTTTATTGTTTCCTTTCAAAATTTGAAATAGATTTCCATCAAATATCGGCTAAATCAATATTTGTCCCTCTAATTACTTCAAACTTGCCTCGACCATGCATCATGCCACGTGTAATGCATTTCCGATTGAACTCTGGGAATAATAGTAACAATTTCGGGTATTCCATGATACACAACAATACCTAATAATCCTAGCTTCAGCAGTTAGACAATAATTATTATTGGCAATCGATCTTGACCTAGTACAACTCCAAAATAAACTTCCATTTACTCCTGTTATTTTTAGTGCCCCCCAGATGGACAACGGAGCCCTCGGATTCGAGTGTCGCCTCGGGACAAGAAGCGATCATTCACTGCCAGGCCGACGGCTATCCGAAGCCAGTGATTACGTGGAAAAAAGCAGTCGGTGAGTAGAATCGCACCTTAAGTGTACTCCTATATACGGTTTCCCAAGTGTATTGCCATTCTGTCTCTGATAGATAAACTTTTGTACGTGGAACAGGTTTTGTTTGGCTCTGGGAATCGAACAGTGGAACGTGGCGTTTTTTTTTTTTTTTTTTTCTTTTAGTTGGTTTATTGGTGCAGTCGGGTAGGATAAAGGAACAATATCTTGATTCGTATTTGTTTGGTTCACATTTGAAATTAATTCTATTCGTGGAAACATCGTTGCGACATACAACCCTAAGCTGAACTTAAGCGTTCCGTACCTGCATACAAAATGAAATGAAATGTTGAATTCCTCTACAATAGTCAAGTAAGCGGAACAAAATATGAAATTGCCTCCCGCGAACGTTTTCCTGCAATTGACACAACGGCACTCGGGCAAAAGAAAAACCTCTAAAGAATACGAACGAGAGCCGGGCAAAGCCAAGTGGAAAGAGAATCGATAACTGCATTAAATTGAAACGTTTATAAGAAATAACTTTTTTGTTGGTGACACATTTTTGTCTTTGTAGGCGAGCAACTTGGCGAATACAAAGACCTGAATTACGAGCCCAACGTTCAACAATACCATAACGGTTCGCTGGGCTTTACGCACATATCGAAGGAGAACGAGGGACAATACCTTTGCGAGGCCAAAAATAATATCGGCTCTGGTGTTAGTAAAGTGATTTTTCTACGAGTCAATGGTAAGCATTCCAAATACTTATAGATATAGAAATTTATAATGTAGATTACCTTACCGTTTTAAATTTTTCTCCAACTTTTTGATTCGCTACCGTCAATAACAATATTTTTCGCGACTTCTATACTTTTTCATTTTTTTACGGGCAAGATTCGATTCTAGAAGCGAAATTAAATTGATGTCCGAAATGTTGAAAAACATGTTTCCCCATCAATATAATATCAGTTACTTCCACACAATACATTGTGACAAAATTGATATGTTATGTAAGAATTGATATTTTGGTAGCGTGAATAATTCTGTCACATCTAAAAATTACATGGTGAATTATGCTGAAAAGTAAATTTGATCTGAAGCAGTAAATAACAATTTTCTGAACCAGATCTGAACGAAATCTTCTTTCTTCTCTTCTTGGAGTGGTTATTGAAAGGTGTTATTGGAAACTCAAAATTAGTACCACTTACCTCTTTGGAGAGCTTTTACTGAAACACCGGTCGGCAGATGAACTAGAGGATGAGAAACGGATCGAGAACTCGTTAAGATTTTGCGAATTAAATTTCCGGCGATAACTAGTATGAATAACTAGTGGCGAATTGGCGACAACTGAAGTTAACTGGCCTCAACATCTACTTGAATAAGCAAGACGAACCACCCTCCACCACTTTGGAAGCCCATTCGCTACCCCTTAGTACCGGAGTTTGAGAATCTACAAAATCGAAGATCTGCAACCCTCATAGCTTTCAGCGATTCGTTGAAAGTACCCTCTGGTTTCTTGTTGTTTTTCCATTGGTTCTCAAGTTTATTCAACCTTCCCTATTCAAACTGCTTCACTCTGTGATCCAATTTGATGGCTCTCCGATAGAGTTCGCTAGTTACCTGTGGTCAAATTATTAACTGAACATTTAATATTTTCCCTTTCAATTGAAAACCTTTATCTTTTTTAATTTTCTATGCTTTCTATTCTTATTTCCCAATTTCTAACCTAGTCAAGTAAATAAAATGAAAGTTCCCTAATTTCTAACCTAATTATCAAAGGTGTGAAATGAATTAAACTATCCTCTATTAATTTCTTCATATAATAATTGAGTAATCACTTCTACCTTAACCTACTTATATCTTAATTATAACTAAGCATTTGATCAGCTTATAACCTTCGCGCTCTGCCAGACCAAACGCACAGTTCTGATCTGAATGCAGGACTGGAACCGCGTTTTCACCCTACACATTGGCGCCTGGACGCAACAAAATTTCGCCGGTATTTTTCCAGAACAGCACAGGTGCCATTGTTGAAATTGCACCACCAGCGACTGATAATATTGCTCTCTTTGCCAAATCTCTATCGGGCCGAACACTTCCCATTGAGTTTTGAACTGAATCGATGGACTGCACAGTTCAAATCTCACAAAAATCGTAGCATAAAGGGCCTGTTTTACAGTTAACATTTCACTAAAGTAATAACCCTTGATAATTTTATTGTTATACAATTTGTTATTGTAACTTAAAAATCTAGCTCACGTAATATCATTGTTTCACTCCACACACACATTCTATCATAATTCTTTCCAGCAACGGTATCAGTTACCTGACATCTGGGTTGGTCATAAAACGTAGGTATTCAGAAGATTATCCTTGACTTTGAATAAATTATTAAAACCACATGGGATCTAGTGAAATCTACAGATTAGTTTAAACTTCAGTGTTACACAACATAAATTTAGCCTATATATTTGTCAATTTCGGATTACAGCAAAATAATCTTGAAGCTATAAAATTCGATACTTTTTTTGCTTTCAAGTAAGTGACTTTACCATCGAACAGATTAGGTCGTTCAGAGAACTCCATGTGTTTGTGTGTGAATCCCATTATAGGATCACATTTTAACTATCTATAAAAATAAAACTTTTCCCACGAAAGATGAGCTTGAACCGAGATTATGAATTTTCTATTTATTTTGTTACAAATTACCCTCGCCTTAAATTCGAAGCATGTTTGTAGACCTCGAAACGATAATCTATCATGACCAGATCCTCCAAGATACAGCACCTCATTCCGAAAATTATTACATAGTATGGAGGGCACACACTCGCGAACTATGGGTCACGCGGATTATTTTTTTCGTCGTTCACTTTACAGTTAGGATCACTACATGGCACGGCATACTTTGGCAGTCCTGGATACAACAACCTGTTCGATTGTTCCTGGGGGACAGTAGCGTTAACTGACACTGGATTCAATTCAATCTTCTGGTCTCTTTTTTGGTTAGCTAACTGATACAAATATGTATGAGCTGTATTCCATACACCGGCTAAAAGATATCGTCGGATGGTTAACTGTTGCTTCTTTGATGGTGAAATAGTTTGATACGACACCGGCCAAATAACTAACTGCGCAAACAAAAAGGGCTATGATCCTTCGGGCTACTTGAATAGTTACTGCTTTTCTGGTATTTTGATATAAGAGAGTTTGCTGGAAACTTTCCATGTCTTCCTTGGAATAAATTCCATTGGAACTGATAGGAGAAATGGAAATACTTGGCATTGATAGTTTGTTTTCTTCATCATTCTTCTAATTCTAAAGCTTCGGTGGTGAGGTTTAGGACAGGTGTGCTCGATAACATTCTGGAGTCTTTCGATAGTCTACGACAAGGGCTCTACATTTAGCAATATAGAGTACTTCTCCCATCACTCTACTAACATATTCTGACGTTTCTTATACCAGATTACCCACGGCGTCGGGCGATTGTTTTGCCATTGCTAATCTGTTTTGTAAAATCTTCTCTCTCAAATGGCATCTCTTCATAATTGAGTCGTAGATGACATCAGCCATTTGTCTTTTCACTGCAATCTCCAAATACAAAAGTTTACTCAGTATTTGAGCCATCATGTCTGTATTTTGAAGAATTCGAATGGTACGATGGTAATAATAGAATCCAACTGAATCCTCAAAAATTACAAGTAAACGGTTTTATTCCAGTTAGCCAAGCCTTTTGAGCACAAACTTCTTCTGGTTTGATCAGTTTTAAAGCGAAAACTGGATTCAACATCATCAAAATAATAACCAACACTGTACGGACAGACACCATTAGACCATAGGGTAACTAGATTTCGTTCGATATCGGCGACCGCAACATAATCTTGGAGTTTAATGGATATTGCTGCAGTAACCACCACATTAGCATATTGGATGGAACCCACGGCGAATCTAAGATCTTCGCATCGACCATTGACGTCGGCAAAACCTTGAAGAGTTGCTGAAACTTCTGTGGTTCCATTCAGAATAAGTATGGAAATAATACCACCTCCCATACCTTTGAGATCTATCTGACGGAATTGGTGAGCCTTCAGACATTGTTTTGGTTCTATGTGCTGAATATATTTTCCAAAACCTCCGGCTACCGTATTGCGATGACTATGCATGCCGCAATGGTCAATGAGTTGTTGCACAGTCACTTGACAGGTGAGTATGTGAATTGGTACATATTGTCTTTTCTGTACCAGCTGAATTCGTCTGAAATTGGACTCGGAGAAATTACGAGGGTCTTCGCATGGTTTTACTGCCAGCAAAGACACTTTTGTCAAAGACTCACTAACCGTTTGAATTTTAATCTAAAATTTGAATATATATCGTGAAAATGTGAGTTAACGACTACAATCCAGTACCTACCTAGTTCTTATAATTTATATTGACTTCTTGTGCGCCTAGCGATAGGTTCCTCGATACAAACTCTCTCATCTTCATTCACTTCCCTTTCTCTTATATCTAGTTGGTTACTTTCTGAATTTTTGGACATTGTAATTCCAATCCCTACTCTCTCTAAATTTTCTTCTTTTTGTTTCATTATTTTCGTTATTCTCATTCTCTAAGACTGACGATCTTGTGCTATCAGTTCTGTCTACATTTTTCTCAACTTTTTTTCTATGTTTTCTATGAATCTCTGTTACTTCTGCATTTACACCTCTTAGTTCATTAATTCTGTATGATCCGGTACATTTCTTGGGCAATTTCTTACTGATTCCAACTTTATCCGCTGATTCGCATAAATAAACCTTATCACTTAGTTTAAATTTATGTAGGATTGCTTTCTTATTGAAGTTATCGTGGTATCACTGAGTATTTCTTTCTATGTATATAATTTAAAGCATTTTTATAGGCAATTTTCATTCTTTGTAAAAATTCTGAAACAAAATTTGTATCAGTATTGTACTTAACCCTTAAAAGTTCAAAAATCTCGTCAAACGTATATTTCATATATCTGCCAAAAAGTAAAAAAGAATGGACTTTCTTTTGTCGTGTTGTAAGTCGTTGAACAGTACGATGCGAGGGCGAAAGGCATAACCATTCATTTCAGTCTCGCTGTCTAGGCTCAATATAATGTGATGAGAAATCCTTCAGAGTCCTATGACATTTCTCAATAGCACCATTGGTCTGCTGTCAATATGCAGTGGTTTTGAGATAATTAATTTGTAAATTTTCACAAATATTTTGCATCAATTTTGACATAAAGTTGGAGCCTGAATCCCTTAAAAGCTGATGTGGTGTTCCATGTCTTAGGATAATTCCTTTGATAAAAGCTTTTGCTACTGTTTCTGCTGTTTGATCCAGTAAAGGAAATGCTTCTACGTATTTTGAACTCTTAAAATATATTTGTTTTTTTGTAATCAGGTAAAGGGCCTAACACATCCATAGCAATGCTGTAGAAAGGGTATTTGGGAATAGAAAATTTCTGCAGCGGGGCAGTCCTCCGTCATATTTGTCCAGTAGGAAAATTTTCTTTCTTTTTAGATATTATATCATGACCTAGGTAAGGTGTTTCGTCTTTGGCAATTACACATTTCTTCGGATTGAGGACTAATACAGCTTCTCTTAAAGCCTCAAAAATTTCTTTCAATTTAGATATAAATATAACAATATTTCCTGATGAAAATATTATAATATTTAAGTATACGTACAATAAACTTGGAAAGAATAAACATCATTAATCGTTGCCGGGTAGCTGGTGAATTCACTAATCCAAAAGGCATTCTGTTGCATTCCTAATGTCCCCAAGGAACGGAAAATGCCGTCTTTTCTCGATCTGTTGGCTCTACCTCTACTTGCCAGTATCCTTTCGTCATATCTAGAGTGCAGAACATTTCCGCGCCTCCTAAAGAATCTATAGTGTCCTGGATATGTGGAATTGGAAAAATGTCTCGTTTCGTAATAGAATTTAATTTGTCGAAGTCAGTACAGAATCTAAAGTTCTTTTGTCCATCTAGGCTTTTATTTTCCACTAGAACTACTGGAGCAATTCACGATGATATAGAACTTCTAATAATGTCTTGTTTCCACATTTCTTTTATTTGTTTGTCCATTTCTTCTCTCATAGAATAAGGTATTTTGTACGGAGCTGGTCTAATTGCGAAATGATCCCCTGTATTGACCTTATGAGTACCCATTTGTGTATCTTTTAATGACGTATTATCCTTTGCAAAAATATCAGAAGGACCACTTTGAAAACCCATTGGCTACTCCTTAGTACCGGGGTTTGAGAATCGACAAAATCGAAGATCTCCAACCCTTTTAGCTTTCAGCGATTCGCTAAAAGGACCCTCCGGTTTGTTGTTGTTTTCCCATTGGTCCTCAAGTTTATTCAACCTTCCCTATTCAAACTGCTTTGCCCTGTGATCCAGTTTGATGGCTCTCCAACAAAGTTCGCTAGTTATATGTGGTCAAATTATTAATTGAACATTAAAGTTTTCCCTTTTAATTGAAAACCTTGCCCTTTTCTAATTACCTATGCTTTCTATTCTTATTTCCTAATTTCTAACCTAGTCAAGTAAATAAAATAAAAGTTCCCTAATTTGTAATCTAATTATCAAGGGTGTGAAATGAATTAAACTATCCTCTATTAATTTATTTATAAAATAATTGAGTAATCACTCCTACCTTAACCTATTTATGCCTTAATAATAACTAAGCATTTGACTATCTTACAGTTAACATTTCACCAAAGTAATAACCCTTGATAATTTTATTATTATACAATTTGTTACTGTATCTTAAAAATCTAATTCATGTAATCGTTGTTTCGCTCCACACACACATGCTTCGAACATAATTCTTTTCAGCAACGGTATCAGTTACCTGACATCTGGGTTCATCATAAAACGTAGGTATTCAGAAGATTATCCTTGACTTTGAATAAATTATTACAACCACATGGGATCTAGTCAAATCTACAGATAAGTTTAAAGTTTAGTTTTTATCTAGGAAAACATAAATTTTGCCTATATATTTATCAATTTCGGCTTACAACCAAATAATCTTGAAGCTATAAGCGATACTTTTTTGGCTTTCAAGTGATTTTTACCCTCGAACAGATTAGGTCGTTCTCAAAACTCCATGTGTTTGTAAATCCCAAGATTTTTTGCAACCTAAACTCCATCATTTTTCATAAGAAGTATTAAGGACTTACCATAAATGTCTTGTTCAGCTATTTCTCTTTCCATCAAGCAAAAACCCAATATTTCGAAGCCAAATTATGTGACTTTTTGACATATTACGTCGTGCTCTTGCCCTGACAATAAACACAAATTGACAAATTACTTGACCATAAATGAAACTCGACTGTGTCCCCTTATCCCTATTTTATATCTAATTGAGAAATTGGATTCCGCAAAACGCTTCTGTGGATATTGCAAAATAAATCATATGACAATTTAAGATGTTAGTGCCAAAGGAATTTATTGAAAAGAAAAATTGCCTTTGGTTTTAAAATGTATTGGTTTTACGTGAAAAAAAAATTGAGCTTTTTCATTAATTTATAACATTATATTTGGGTTAAAAGTACGTCCAATTAATATTCAAGTTTCAATCGGTGTTTCTCTGCTTCAACAACTTTTTTCCCAAAAGTTTTTATATCCACTCGAATAAAGCCAAAAAAGATATTTATTTCTTTCCACGTCAGGTTTTCTCTTTTGTACAGCGAGACCGCAAAAAGCCAAAAAAATAAATTATTTCTAATAAGAGAAAACGAGGCCCAAAAGATATTGTGTTTCATTCAAAATGAAATTTTATTAAATCCGAGCAGTCAACAAAGCCGAAGAAATTGGATGAGAATGTTCTTTATTGAATAAGAAAAGAAGTCATTCTTTTGCGATGCCCGTAAAAGTCGCTTCAAGAACTCCAAGGAAAAATAACAAATGTAATTGTGTTTTTGATTGGAAAATACCTTAATTTTTATTAGTAGGTTGTAAAAATTGTTTTATATTTCAGCACCAGCTCATTTCGCACAAAAATCCAAACAAGTGCAAATAGTCAAAGGTGAACAAGCTCATCTTCAATGTTCGGCCAATGGCGATACACCCATGCAGATTACTTGGAAGGTGGGCGGTCAGCACATAACTAAAGATGGTATGATATACACTTTTTCAAATAGAAATTTGATAATTTATCGATGGAAACTTTCAGGTGACAGCAGGTATTCTATCAGAGAACAAACCTTGGCAGATGGTATGGTTTCCGAACTTGGTAAGCTGTTTCTTCTAAAGCAAATAATCACCTGACAATCATCCTAATTTATTTAGGTATCGAACGAACTATTCGTCAAGACACAGGCATTTTCATTTGCTCAGCTTCGAACGCCTACGGTAGCGACGACATGAACATTCAGCTAATAGTTCAGGAAATCCCCGAGGCACCCAGAAACGTCCGAGTTATGGATCAACAGTCCAGGTCTATTGGGATATCTTGGACTTATCCGTATGCCGGAAATAGTCCCATTACGAATTATGTTGTTCAGTACAAGCCTGGAGCTGGTAAGTTAATGATTCCGGAATTGTGTAACCCCCTTTGTTAACAAATTAACCAGCGGCCCATAATATGCTCAGTTTGCTCAGCGAATAATTATTTGGGGTGGGTCAATAGGTAATAAGTACGTAATGGCAAGGGCGCCACTGAATTTGTAAAAATTAATAATTGAATTACGTGAAATATTGAAGTGTGAAAATTCAGAAACACACCTAAAAAATAATGATTAGGTAGGTAATTGATAATTCTAAAAAGAAAATAAATAAGGCATGTAACTCAACCAAGTCTTGGACATAGGTAACACCAATAAAACAATCAAGTAACACAAAATTAAATTTGTGTATATAAGTTGTAGATCCCAGGTGAAAAATTGAGCAATTTTTGACGATGTAGGTACTTACTCAATAAATTTAAATTTGGAACATATTGTCCAACCTTGACCTCAGTGCAGATTAATGATCACTGAAATAAAGATTCCCAAAACTTAGCAATATTAAAAATTAATTAATTCAATAATAAATTTGATAAATCGAAAATCGGAAATAATTATTCAACCGTCATTTCGGTGTCAAGAATGCGAAATTAAAATTTTAAATATTTAAAATGTCATATCAAAAAAAAATAAAAATTAATTATGGTGATTGATCATAAAATAGATTTCTTTAAAAGAAACGGTAAAGTCACTAATGAAACTATATACATGTTCCAATTCCAACAAAAACGTTGGAGTACGGTAGCTGTCCATTTTGTGTCAATTGACGATGGAAGTTGCAGATGGAAATTGCAGATTCTAGCCTTGAATCAAGGTAGATAGACGCTGGAAGTTCACAGTTTTCGTCAAATGTTGAGGGTTTGGTGTCGACACGTGAGGGAATTGATCTCTCTGAAACCTCTATACCCATGCTCCACGAAAATGGAAATCATAGAAATGTGGGCTCGTTGGAAACGAACTCCTCTAAAGAAACGGGCTCGTCGATAGAAACGCGCTCCTCGAAAAAAACTGGCTCCTCAAAAGATCCTAAGTAATAGAGGCATTCCATGAACAACCATTACTCACATTACTGTTAAAAAAATTGAAAAGAACTTACCACGAGGGGTTCGAAATTCAAACTAAAATAAAACGTTTATCAGAAGACTTTCGATATTAAATTTTTCGGTAATTAACGGAACATTGCCTTACGCAACTTTATTTCGTTAAACTAGTGCCTGATGGCCGATAAAGTACTTTTTTCCACGAGAACGGTAATCGATTTTTCACTTAAGAAGATGGCTGCCCCCAGGCCATAGAATCAATATTTCAGGTTGAAAGTCAAAATTTAAAAGGGGCGAAGAATAGGACAAGCTGAACAAGCAGAGCTTTCCTTCGAAAAATAGCTAATGGGAAGTGTTGGTACTAAACTGGTAGATATTTCAAATTTAAACGAAAAGCGTGCCTCGAGGTTAATAATTGTTATTATCATAGGCATTATCATCTTTCAATAATGCCAGTCACCAGACTGTCAGCATTCAAGGCGACAATTTAATTAATAAAATAATATATGAAAAAAAAAGAACAGTTACGAACGGTAGCATTTCGCATGAAACAAGGGGTGAAGTTCAGGGCAAAACACTACCTAAGGACTTGTTTTTCTTGGATCTGAATTGTCAGCTTTATAGGATTGAATTCGTCGTTAGGATATATTTTTTTTTAAGTATTATTTTCCAAACAAGATTATGAACAGCTATATGATTTGAACGAAATTAGTTTCAAAGTCGTTTTCAAAAACCTACCCTCAGTTTTCTACTTGTTAACTGGCGCAGTCAGTAGAACGCGTTTTTCAAGACTGACTCCTGCTACTTTGAAGAAAATCGAAATTTATTGCCAATTTTCGCGAGCAGAAAGCATCACAATCTGAGAGGTGAAGTAAACAGTAAATTCAGTAGGATATAAAATTATCTATGTACCACGGGAATTATCAGATGTTAATACCCACGGGCAATAGGTGTCCTGGGGTATTAACACCCTCATAATTCCCTTGATACATAAATAACTATAGTCATTTTACCGCATCTGTTGATCTTAATCTTGTATCTGGACAATTAGGTATATTAATATTTCCTTCCCTACTCGGCATGTAATATACTATTAAACAGTAGTTAGCTATTCTAGCTAAACACTACTATACGGTAAACAATTCAAGTCGGTAATTGAATTTACATAGATATTAATTAGGTTATAGAGCTAAACGATAGGGGGCGATAAAGAAAAGGTAAAAATAAGTTACGGTAATTTAAGACACTCATAGGTAAGTAATTATACAAGCTTGGACGGAATCCTTGTAAAGCCTCGGAAGCTTTCACAAATTTGAGTTCTGGAGGTACCAAACTGGCTGGAGACAACCAAATAATGGTTGGGGATCAACTCCTTACAGGACACAAACTTTCCTCGAAAAAGGGGCCCAGATTTACTCTGAGTTTCAGGACAACGTGTTGAGACCACGCTGTCAATTTTCACTTGGAGAAGTGCAGTCACGAATTTTTCGTCCTGCCGAAGGTGCCTGAATGAATTGAGGGGATATAAGAACTCATTCATCAGAAAGAAAAAGTATATTACATACCGAGGTGGAAAGTGTTTCATTACTGTCGAGAAATTTTAGTTAGACCGAGGCGCAGCCGAGGTCTAACTAAAATCACTACTATAAAAAAACTTTTCAGTAATGTCTGGAGATCTTCTGCATTGTCTGCTAATATTGCGGTGTCGTCTGCATATCTGAGATTGTCGACTGTCCAAAAGTGGTTCAAACGCTCTTTTAGGCTTTAGCACATAGACTAAATTATTGAACAGCATTTGAGACAAGATATATCCTTGTCTAAAACTTTTTTTTATTTCAAATTGGTCTGCTGTTGTTGATTTGTCTAACCGAACTTCCACTTCTTGATTTCAGTAAAGACTAGCAATAAGTCTTATGTCCTCATCATCCAGTCCTAATTCCTCAAAGTATGATATCAAGAGATTACGTCTAAGATTCTCAAATGCTGTACTGATGACCGTTTACTCTTCGCCTTAGAGCCAAATTATGGACTGACTGGTAAACGTCTGGTTGTTACCTAGCAGGTACAGAAACTTAACAGTTGGTCCATAACTTGGCCCTTAGTAGACTACATTCTGTCCTGTCTACCCAGTGTCTACCTGATTGTTTGAATACATCTCATCATGAAATCGCGTTATTTCGATACGTTGATCTAAAGTCCGCCCCTACTATTTCTAAGAAATATAATTATTTGTTCTATCGAAGATGTCACAATTTCCTTGCTTATTGAGGTCAACGGATGTCGTGAAAATGTGAGGCCGGCATCTGTCAAAGAATGCTGAAACTCGTCTCGGCTATGATTGATGTTTTCTAGATGAGTATGTTGGCAAATTCCTTAATTATTTATTATTCTAATTTGAACTTAGAAAACCTTTCAATATTTCAAGCAATTTTCACAAATGCCAATTTCAATTATTTTCAATTTATTGCTACTAAATGAGAACGTCTCTTTGAATATTGGGGATTTAATTAAAATTAGATTATTTGATTCAATTTCAATTTTCCAGTCAGTCTTTGAAATTTTCTATTAGATTTACTTGATTTAAAAAATTCTAAGTTTCGTTTAACTCAACTGTTTTATATTTTAATTCTTATTTGACATTAAGGTTTTTGAAAACGTTCTAGGAGGTTCAAAAATATATCTGGGAATAGCTATTCTCCTAACGAGTGCCGGAAATTTCTTCCCGCAAGAGTTAGGAACTATATTTTTTCTACGAGCATACTGAAGCTGATGTTACGAAGAGTTTAATTTAAATAAAATGCAATCATGCAGAAGGTAGAATTAAAAATGTATTAGAAGGTATTTATAAAAAGGTAAAGGTACAGGTATAGGTGTATCAACAATACAAACAATTCCATGTCACAATGATTATTTCAAAATCTCTTCACGCACCGTTGCGGGAAGAAAGTCTTCCCGCACAGCAAGTCGTGCGGGAAGAGCCATTTCCCGCACTCTCGCGATTGATTCTGATTAAAATAACTCTTGAAACCACTTATCATTGAATTAAGAATATTATGCAGGTATGTCCTTTTATTAAATAACTAAGTGCGAAACTATTGTATTTGGTCTTTCCAGAAAACTATTGATGACTACTTTATGATGAAAGATCGTTATAATACTCTTTCCGAAATTTCAGAAAATACTCATATAAAACGCCTATTCTTGTTTTAAAAACATAACATTTAGTTTGAACAGATCAGTAGATATTGACCATTGTTTTTTCTTTACAGAGGCCTGGCCAAATCAGCCGGCAAAAATAACAGCCCCCGGTACCCAAACGACAGCCTCGCTCCCAAACTTACGCCCCGCTCAAGTTTATCATTTAAGAATTTTAGCTGAAAATCGATTGGGATTGAGTGAGCCCAGTCAAACTGTCCAGGTTAATACTCTAGAAGAAGGTAAAAATATTCTAATTCTATGAAGGCTGCATCTAAACAATACATTTAAGTTCCTAGTGGTGCACCAGTAGATATAAGAGCGGAAGCCAAAACCTCCACAGAACTAGTAGTTACTTGGGAACCTCCCGCTCGTGAGTCGTGGAACGGTAACTTATTGGGTTACCACGTGGGTTACCAAGAATTAAACGAAGAAAGTAATAATGTAGCTCAAAGTTATGTATTCAAAAGCGTCGAAGTTAGACCGCATTATGGTGGAGAAGCTATACTGCAAGGGCTATCCAAATTTGCCACTTATAGCATTATAGTACAGGTAATCTAAATGATTGAGTTTTGGAAAGCTGGCAAAAATAATTGTTTCAGGCTTACAACAGTAGAGGTTCCGGACCGGCAAGTGAACCAGTGACAGCTCGTACTTTGGAAGATGCTCCCACTCTACCCCCAGAAAATGTTCAATGTTCAGTATTGAATGCTCAAAGCTTACATGTTTTGTGGGAACCCCCTAAATTACAAGGCAGAAACGGCGTTATTCAAGGATATAAAGTAACTTATCATTCTGTTGGAGAATGGTATGGTACGTATTAAGCCTAGATTTTATGTTTGAGAATCGGAATTTATATATTTCCAGATAATGACGACCAACAAACCAAAATAATCAACCAATTGAGAACGACCATATCGGGTTTGAGAAAATTCACTAACTATAGTATGACTGTGTTGGCTTTCACTGCAAGGGGCGATGGCGTCAGATCCATTCCTGTTTTTTGTCAGACTGAAGAGGATGGTAATGTATTTGAGAATATAAGAAATTAAACATCATAAGCATTCAAAAACATATTCTGATTAATTTTGTATGCTTTCTGGTAAACATAAAATGGAACCTTTAGTTAGATTTTAAAAAAATCCCCCTAATTCTTAAGCTAGATTTCGCTTAATCAGTTATTTGACCTCCGACAAAAAACTTGCCAGATCTTGAAATAAGTAGAGTTTCACTTATAACCACCAATGCCTGGTTATGCATCATCTTTTTCTAGCTTCGAAGTATATACAGAGATAAATTATAATGTTGTGAAAGTTTTAGCATTTAACGAAAGTCCGATTGGGTGCTAAAACGAGCCCTGTATTGAACTTCAAGGCTTTCCAAATTTCATCTTCAATGGACTGATGACCGTCTTTTCTCCGACTTTCGACTCAAGACTCTCCCTTATACACTGTTTTTCTACTTGATTGTGATTTGTTTAGTTCCTCCGTCATAATGAATTCGCTTGACTTCGATACGTTGACCTGAAGTTGTCTCCTGCTATTTCTAAGAAATATAATTATTTCCAGTTCCTTCCGCGCCAGCTCAAATTAAAGCAGTCCTCAGCGCTCCGAATAAAATCCTGATATCATGGCTACCACCGAAATTCAGTAACGGCCCTTTGACTGGCTACACTTTTTACATGAGCGTCATGGAGGACGGGCAAGAAGAAGGCACACACAAAAGGGCTCTAAGCCCGAGCACTGAAATGCACGAAATCGTACGAACTCACGAAACTAGTACTTTGCAGTTTTGGGTTACAGCATCAACAAGGGTACTAATAAAGCAAACTTTTTTTGACATTAAAAATTAAACCCAAAATTTTAGATTGGCGAAGGAGAAAGTACTAGAGTGGTAACAGTAACCCCTTCCAAAACTGTGCCGGCTAAAATTGCTTCATTCGGTAGAGAAGTTGTTAGTGCCTGGAAACAAGACATTTATCTTCACTGTAAAAGGGTAGGGACTCCGATGCCTAATGCTATTTGGAAATTGAATGATTTGCCTTTAGAGGCTGGACAAAGGAGGTCGATATTACCGAATGCTACACTTGTAAGAAAAAAAAATAGAATAAACAAATGTGTATTTATTTTTTTGTAGATAATAAAGGACATACAAAACGTTGATCAGGCCAACTACTCGTGTTCAGTAGAAAATCAACATGGAAGGGACGAGATTGTGTACACTTTGAAGGTTTTAGTACCGCCAGATGCACCAATACTAAATGTGGTAGAGTCGTTTACAGATAGTTTACAGTTGAGGTACTAATTGATGAATTATTTCAAAGCCAAGTTATAGGAGCTGAAATCTTAGTTTACTTAAGTTTTCACGAATATACCTATTAATTTTCTCAGGTGGATTGACCAAAGCAATGGAGGCTCTCCAATATTAGGCTACGTAATAAACTATAAAAGAGATCACGGAGACTGGGAAGAGTTGCAAATTCCTGCAAGAACTGACGAACATATGTTGAGAAATTTATGGTGCGGTAGTAGGTAAATTCACACATAACAATTTTTTATCTAAATTTAACCTGAAACATTGAAATTCCAGATATCTTTTGTACATAACAGCATTTAATAGAATAGGCACAGGATTACCATGTGATATAGTTAAAGCTCATACTAAAGGCACAGTTCCTGTACAGCCAAAGCAATCGCAGATGTTGACAATGAACGCTACAGTAGCCACAGTGTGGTTGGATTCTTGGGGCGATGGCGGTTGTGGAATTATTTATTTTGCAATTTTTCACAGGTAAATAAATGGAATTCTCAAAGCGAACGAAACATACCTTCTTGTTCTAGACCAATGAGACACAATTCCTGGACAACAGCTTCGAACCATGTCAAACCAACTGAACGGATTTATAGTATTGTAGATTTGTTTCCGGCTACAGAATATCAAATTAAAGTTACTGCAAGTAATAACGCTGGAGAAACTGAGGCTTTGTATAATTTTACAACTTTGACATTTGCTGGAAGTAAGTATAATATAATATAATATATTGTTAACAATAGTAAACGGTTAACACCGATGAAACTATCGCCAAAATCAATTGTTAATGTGCTATTTGACCTCCGGATTATGAGTTTCTAGATAAGCTTTGCGGTAACTCCCGGTCAACACTGTTTTTGAAAAGGTTCAATTTCCTGGCATTAATCGCTTTTTTCGACAACGCGTTCGACTGATATATAATTCGATTAGTTATGAAATGTTTTACTTGGAAGCTTAGATGTTTTTTTTGTCTCTAACTTTAGAGAATGTCCACGCAGATGTAAATTATTAATAAGTTTAAACGAAATCGCAGAATCGTTATCATCATCATTATCGTCATCATCATCATTAATCAGACTCTTTTCACGTCCATTGTCCTCCTGCAAAATTTTCCAGTTGTCTCTGTTCTGAGCAGTTGCGATCCAATTTGATGAGATCCTTTTAAGGTCGTCTGTCCAGCGAGTAGGAGATCTTCCTCGGTTTCGTTTGTCGACTCTTGGTCTCAACTCAATGAGTTTCTTCGTCCATCTCCCGTCCTCAGATCTGGCGACGTAGCCTGCCCACTATTGTTTTGCGTTACATTCTACAATATCGTCCACCCCAGTTCTTATGCGGATCTCATAATTCCTTACCCGATATTTCAAAGTTAATCCAAACATGGATTTTTCCATTCGTCTTTGTGTTCCTCTCAACTTTTCTGCTGATGATTGGGGAGTCAATGTCGCCGCACTATAGGTCAGGACTAGAAGGTGCTTTTCCTTTCAGAGATATTGGAATGTCAGCCCTAAACACATGCCTCAGTTTCCCGAATGCTGCTCATCCCAAGGCTATTCTTCTCGTCAATTCGCATGTTTGGTTATCTCTGTGATTTCTTATCTCATGACCCAGATAAAGTGCGACAACTGAATAAACCTGTGTGGCAGGAATGCCGGCGAAACCCTCCTAATTGGCGCCAGATTAAATGTATACGCGGGTCGTCAAGTCAGGGACCCGTAACCGCAATTTTCGCAATGCACCACGTTGGTGACCCGTCGCGTTGTATAGTATAGGTTTTCGTTTTCCCCTCTGCTACTTCATACGGCGCCAAGGCTCATTCAGTTGTCGCACTGTATACGTACTTTTCCACTGAGTATTTGCTCACTATGGGAACCGGATTAATCGTCATTTTAGTTTTGGAGAAGTTCATCTTGAAGCGCACATTTTGCGTGGAATTTTGAAGTTTCTTGAGCATTTCTTTAGTTTCGCCCAAACTGTCTGATATTAGGACAATATCATCCGCAAAGCGAAGATTATTAAGACTTACCGATTCCTCTTTTGATTTTAATTATTCTGGTGATGGAGTGAAGATTTACGGTGGTTGTTGCGTTTCCGTATATATTTTTAATAATATCGCAATATCCATTTTTTTTTCCCTTGGTCCAGGCCTGTCCGACTTATTTGTCCCCATGCAGCTCTGAAGCCTGAGAAGGCTTATTGTACTTAGCCTGTATGGCTTATTCCACCCATTCAGGTATTTTTGTAAAAGATTGGAATTAAAGATAGCAAAATCCCCTGAAACCTGTCTTGTCTTTACAAAAACCACTTAATTAATGGGCCATTAATGACCCTTTTGGAAACGACTAATGAGTTTTTTACTGACAAATGGCCCCTCGTGGAGGTGAAATTCCCTTTTTTATTGAATCCCAAATATTTACAAAAATACTGATAAGCTAAACTAAATATTGATAACGAAAAGGTGAATTCAGAATGATAAAAACTATTAAATTTACCTGGTTACTGTTTGGGCTAGTTGAACAAAACGTGCTCTGTGCTCACACGACAAACCAATAAAATGGCGTAGATTCTTGTCTCCAGAAAATTCCGAGTGGTTGGTTTACAAATACGGGGACTTACGACCAAATCCAAGTTCACCCCAAAACCAATTAAGCCAGCAACCGCTTGAGTTTCCAACGCCTCCAAAATCCCACAAAAGGTGGATGTTCCAAGAAACTTAGCAAAGAGGACCGCTGGTAAAATCTGCCACTTGTTTGCTCAACGTGCGAATTTAAAAGAGAACGATTCCTTTTCGGCAACTTATTAGGTGAGCTTACTATGAAAATTTTTCTAGAATTCCATTTTTTTCCAAGATGCCCTCTGGTGCCAGATTTCCGGTCTTGACCAGGAAAACGGAACAATCAGCTTGAAACGGAACAACCCAAATCACTATGATGACAAACGAAACCCAAAGTTGTTATCAAATTTACTCCCCTAACAACAATTAACACTAAATAATTACTTATAGTAGTTATTAATCAACATCTACCCAGTCTGTAGTACAAAACTATCAAAATGACCAGTGAATGTTCAGTGATCACAACTACAGTGACTCTATTACCCACAGTGGTCAAGGAACCTCGGCAACAGTGCTGCCTGAAACGAAATAACAAGTGGTTCCATAATCACACTTATTCGGCGGAAAATACGTAAATAACCGGAAAATGTGAAAAATAGAGGAAATAGGTGTGAAAAAGCGATTTAAAGGCTGTGAAAGTGATGTGTGATGTTGCAGAATTTTTAATAATGGAAAATACGAGATTCGTGAGTGTTGCCAATTGATATTTATTTGGAAGTAAACAAACCTTTTCATCGACATTTAGGGCCTTTTAGACAACTTTCGTAAGATAAATAAAATAGATTTCGATCCTAACAGTAGGGCTTTATTATCCTAAATCTACCCTGTCATCTGAATACAAAGAATTTACTCATTATTACCTCGAAAAATATACCCTTGTTCAACAACTAGATATTGTTTCGCATCCAAACAAAAAGGCAGAAAACTAGTAAAATCTAATGAGCAACCTATCAATCACTGAAAAATATTAAACCTCAGGTATAAAGCTTTCTTAATAACCTCACAAATACCTAAATTAATTACTGAATTTATTTGAAATCTCCAATTACGTTCCAAGGCAAAATTTGAACGTAACACCTTGACAGTCTTTGTAGTCTATCACAATTTTGAGTACTTTCGATATCCTCCCAGTACTTCCTCCAAGACCTCCTCTCTCCAAGTTTTTTCTTGAACTTTTTCAACGTGGTTAAGTATGTTCCCCACTTCCCGGTCCTCATGACTATTAAACTCTTTTCTAGTTTTTTTCCTCAATTGCAAAGTTTCGTTCCACCAGGGCACTTTCCTGGTGGATGTCCCTGTTGTAAGATGGCCATTTTCGTTGAAAACTGAGATGATTGCATCATCGAATTGATCCACAACCATCTCCAAGTCTTCAGTGTCTCTTATTGTCTTCCTGATGTTCGGCAGACTGTACTCTAGGTCAGCTTTATATGCGTCCCAGTCCGTATTTCGAGGTTTCCGATAATTTACCGAAGTTGCTTCCCTGGAATTTCAAATTTAATGTATACAGCCAGGTTGACACGTTCAGTGCACTTGGATGAGAACTTGAGTTGATACGATCCTAGTATCGCTCAAAAGAGGTGTGCGCAGCCTCCAAGCTTACTTTAGACCCAACCTGCTACCTGCTATTAGACTTGTTTGTCGCTCAGATTTCCCTGATTCGGAAACTTTTTTACCATAATTTGGGATAAACATTTTGGTACATTATGTTTTTTAAAAGTTGTTCCAGAACTATCACCACCCGTATCCCATTCAACGGAACAATCCTTCTACTTGAACGCCAAAATTTGGGTACCAATGGTTTCATCCATGATAATTTCTGTGGCGATTTTCATCACTCTGATATACCGAAAAAGTGAGTTACATTGGCCCGTAGGGCAAATTTTTTGAAATTTCAAATGATCACTGTTTACCCATTATTTTAGGGCATCTTGCCGAACGTAACACTCAAAACCACGCGATAGGCGAATCGCCGTCGATGGCCCAAATGCAAAACAAACAGAACCGCGACCAGCAATACTTGGCAGTTCGCGTAGGGCGCGGCCCTCAACCCTTGGACGTGGACGATACTTACAAGCCCGAGTCGTCGGATTACATCGAGGACATTTGTCCCTATGCCACGTTTCAGTTGTCCTCATCGAAGCCGCAGGCCTACAGCGAGAGCTCGTACAGCGGCAACGTGTACAGCGGACCGTACCATTCGGTACGCGGCTCTTTTGTTTATCATGATGTAAAACCACCACCTATCGATAAGTTTAAGTTAGGACATGTAAGTTTTTTTTTTTGGAGTTTAGCTTGTGTTTGCACGGTTTTTTCAAATCCATTTTCATCCAGATTTTATGTCGTCTTTGGAATCACTTTTATACTTTTTGAGGATGCAAAGTTTTAATGGGAGTTTATTGTTGCAGAACAAAGAGCCAGAATATACTAAAGTAAGGAGAAAAGGAGGAAGACTGAGAGATCCTCATTCCGAGAGTCAAGGTACCATATTTTATGACTATAATATATTATGCATTAAACTATCAAAATGGATTTGTGTCAATTTAGTGTAAGTTAACTGAGGGCAGAGCAACTTATCACGGTTGAACATGAGAAATTTCATTAAAGGACTTTTTGGAATAAGCAATAATGTAAGCATAAATAATTTCATTTTTTACAAATGGCTCAAAGTTAAGTATGAGAGACTTATCAGCAATAATAAGTCTCTCATACTTAACTTTAAGTTTTTATTATGAATTAAGATATCAATAATAAGTTCTTTACTTTAATAATAACCCCTATCAGACTCTAACAAAAATGTAAAACGCTCAATTACCTAAACACCAATTCATCAGTAATTATTTGGTAATTTGTCGTCAACTTCTTGCATTCCACTACAATTATTAACGTTTAACGTTAGCTCTTGCTGAGTTGACACAAAACCAATAACAAACGTTATCATACTCAACCAACAAAAAACCAAAATTTAAAATTGGATTGAAAATAAATCAATCTCTCTTGATTGAATGATTGGAACATCTATCGCCTCCGAATTTCAGAGTCTGATAACCTGGGCAGCACGGACTCAGAGGTGAAGAAGATACTAACTCTCCACCTGCCTATTTCAGAGTACGACACGCTCGGCTCAGACTCGGACGGCGATGGTGGTGGTCGGGCGACTAGTCAAGAGCTTATGTCCTTTGGCCATCGGATGAGAGGTACAGTGTCGCATGTATTAGTTATCTAAAATAATCCAGCAGGAGAATAATTTTACACGGTAAAATTTAGGCTCCAAGGTTATATCAAATCAAAATCTACTTATAACCACCATAATCCAATACATACAATATTATTCCAAACAGTGGTATTTCTTTTTCTTGTAGATCTGTGGAGAAGATTATTTTCACTTCTCGTTTTGTACCACCATTCTGCAATATTCTCGATCATATCCTTCGTATTAACTCTACCCCTTCCTTGGCGTTTCCTTCTTTCCTACTCCTGGAGCAGTTTATCCCGTATTTCCCATTTTTTGTTATCCTCTTCCATTTTTTTCCCCCGTTTTTGAAATTCCCATGGGGTTTTGATCGTTCCACTATCAGTTCCAGCTTCTTTCGGTTGTCCTGAAACATCCCGCATTCTAAACCTAATTACAGCTTGTCCTTTCCTTTTTTTTCTTGCATTCCAATGCCTGTATCCTGTTCTGCATCTTTTATCGTGTCCCAATTATCAAAAATTGGCCTTTTCTCCTCCATTCTCAAGAAAAGGCACAAACGGATATCGGTAGACTCCATTACTAAAGTTGCAGTTGTCCTGAACATTTGTATTATTTCAGGGTATGTGGTCAGATACTATGTACACTATATTTTCCAGAAATCTTATTTTATATTTTGTATCAATTTCCACCGCTGTGAGAAATTGGTTATTGATGAAACTAGTTGTCTTACCATAAGAAAAGTGACAGGTGTTAATATTGCATGATCTTTTAGATCATCTGATAGCGGCCGTAATGACCGACTGGATCTGGCATGTTAGTTGATGTTGATCACTGTTCATACGTGAGTCTGGCTTCTCCTACAATACGTCTCAAATATTGCTTGATGGATACTCCGAAAAACCTTCAAAGTTTATTTTCGCTTAATTTATTATTATTGACAAGTAACTTCAATCTAACATTTACATAAATTAAATCAAATAATTCGTTTCCCGACAAATTTGATGCTTATTCATCATCATCATAGGCAATCACTCGATTGCGCGTTTTCTGATAGCAATATGTATAATCCAATTCTGGAGCCGCACACTCTTTCAAAGTCTTGGCACAATTAGCCTCCGACAACATTGCCTCTTCCTCTAATCTCCCGCTCCTTCCTGCGGTTCCTCTTTTCGATCTCGGGTCTGCGTCGCTGTTCTTTACAAGTTTGTGGTCCGTCGTGGACTACTCAACGCCATGATGGCTTATCATATGCCGTCGTCTCCCAGTTACTATACCATATGCCTCCTAAGAACATACTTTTGTTATTATTATTTGCTTAACAATAGAAAGCAGTTTAACACCGCTGAGTCTATCGTATCATCTGAGTCTCTTATTTAAATTCACATTCATTTAGAAGCTAGAAATAGTGCACTAGGGTGTTGTTAATTATAGACAGTACCGAAATCTAGAGCTCTTAGCAATTGCGCACGCAAGTTGCATTTATCGTATTTCACTTACTTGTCATTAGTTGTCCTTTTGACATTACGTTAAGTAATATAATAAATAAAAAAATAATAAAATATAATAAATAAAAAAATAATAAAAAATAAAATGAACTGAATAAAAAGTTTTTTTAGTAGAGCACTATTTCCGGTCATACGGATTTCGAAGAAATAGCAGCCGCAGTTTGAAACAAGTCTAGCCAAAACCACTCTTTATAAGTATGTTTAATGATTTGCAGAATCCTTTCGAAGCTTGTTTGCGTCGCTATGGTGCACATTTTGAAGATATATGCATTATAAAAATCCATAAATAGATATAATTTTTATGTTCGGTACTGTTTATTTTGGCGGATACTGTACTAGTCTATTCTTGGAAATGTTCTTGTTTGGCGAGTTTATAGTTTCTTGGCTTACTGCGTTCCATCGGTATACTACGCCGTTGCATAAGAAGTTAAGTCCAAGGATGCTTTCTCTTTCGTGAACTTCTTATCGTGCCCTCTAAGATTCTGGTTTATAGTTCCTTGGAACATGTATTCCCGCTCCAACAGCTCTATAATCTTCAGAGTAGTATGGGTTCCAGAGTGTGTGTGTATAGGTACTCAAGCTGGCAAGGCATTATGTAGATTGTATACAGTTTTTTGATCATTTGGATAGAGTGAGTGCCAAAACCTGTTCTCATTAGGTTCACCAGCTGATTTTCTCTCTTCACAACTTGCCCTATGTGTCTTTCCCATTTTAGATCCTGACTTTTATGTACAGGGTGAGTCACCATATTTTGACACCCACCTGCAGCCGTAATTACAGGTGATAGGTAAAAGGTGTAAATACAAAAGTTGTAACATTTTATCTGAATCGCCAAAATTTTTAATAAGATTGAACAAATGAGCAACGCAAAGTAAAAAAAATATGCCGATGTTCACTTTTTTCAAATGGAATGCCCTTTATTTTCTTCCAAATTCTTGAAGTTATCGTTTTTCTGATTCAGATTATGTGATATGTAGATGTTTCTTTCAATAATTTTGGAAATATCTGGAGATAAGTTATTCAAAGACAGTAGATTTTTGAATATATTTTACCTTGATTTACTTGTCACCTGTTCACAAAACATTCTGATACGTGAATAGGTCTTTGAATAACTAAACTCCAGATATTTCCAAAACTATTGAAGGAAATATTAATATATTATATAATCTGAATCAGAAAAACGAGAACTTCAAGAATTTGAAAGAAAATAAAGTGCATTCTAATTGAAAAAGCTGAACATTGACATTTTTTTATTTTGTGTTGCTTATTTTTTCAATCTTATTAAAAATTCTGGTGGTTCAGATAAAATGCTACAACTTCTGTATTTACACCTTTTACCTATCACCTATAATTACGGCTGCAGGTGGGTGTCAAAATATAGTTACTCGCCCTGTACACTCTGAGGTATTTCTGTTCGTTAACACTATTTGATATCACTCCATTTATTTCGTAGTTAATCATCGAATTATTTTATCTCACATGAAGTGAAGCACTGTGCATTTCTGTTCGTTTCGTTTCAGCTGTCAGATCCTCTTGAGACTGATCCGATTGTTTTAATGAATTGCTGAGAAGTTTATTTTCATCTGCGAAGGATTCCGTGTTAATTTCTGATTAGACCAGATATATACAGTATGAAAAGAATAGAAGCCAATACTAAACCTTGTGGCACACCGCTGATTACGTGGTGAGGATCTGAACATGTTCCATTGACCCTAACCGTGTATTTCCTGTATTTAGGGAAGGAATTACTCCATTGGTGGTAGGAATCTCGAATTCGGTGGTGGTCTAATTTGTAGAAGAGTCTTGTGGGACAGTGTTGAAACCCATTTGAAAGTCTAGATATATTATATACACTCCTCATCAATTTCTTTGGTCCAATTGTTGACACAACTTAAGAGATTGTTGGTGGTTGCCGTAGATATGCGTGTTATAATGATGGAATTATAGAATTTTCTAATAAAAATCTTGTGATATCCTCTACAATTATTTTTTCCAGTGTTTTACAGACTGCGCAAGTCAGACTTATAGATCGGTAGTTTGCAGGATTGTGCTTATCTGTGTTCTTAAAAATTGGCACTGTGATCGCTTGAGTCCAAATTTCTGGCCCGTCTGTCATCGAGCTTTTAAAAAGTTTTACCAGAAGCGGTGTTAGAGATTCTGCACATCTTTCTAGGAAAACGGCAGGTGTTGCGTCGGGTCCTGGACTTGAATAGGTCTTTAATTCTTTTAACACTTCACAAACTTTTTCTGGTGTGGTAATCTTGTTGTTTATTTGATATGGGTTTCGCATTTCATCTGGCATCCTGGAAAACTTATGAAGGCAATAAATTCTTTGGTGTTTTCTGTTTCAAATTTATTGGCGCCAACTTCCGCCGTTTCTCTGGGGTCAGTGATTATTTGCTGACTTGGGTCTTTCAGCACTACATCATGGAGACTGTTCAGGCTTCTCCTCATATAAGAATAAAATTGTTTATCATTCTTTTCTAGGATCCCTTCTTCATGTCTGAGTCTTGCCTTGACGATCTTAGGTTTCAGTTTGTTGTTTTGAGTTCTGTATGCAACATAATTTTGGTCTGATTTTTGTTTTATCTCTTGAGGTCAATTGTTTTGAAATTGAGTGGGTTTAACCAAGGTTTGTGAACGTTGTTCCGGTATTATTTTTTAGGAAAGAATGTATCTATTGCTGTCGTTATGATGCTTTGGCATTCTTGGTACTTATTTACATTTCCTTCTATGCCTTTTGCTTAGTTTTTTATGTATTCGTTGATGGATTCATTTTCGATGTCGAAGTTTCGTATTATTAATTTCTTTGTTGGACTTTGTTTTATTCTTAGCTGTGCTGTACCCCACAATAATGATGTGGTCACTTTTTCCAAACAGTGCTTTAGACTCTATCAATGACATTATTTTTTTTATCGCTTATTAAGAAGAGATCCAGTAGAGAACTAAATCTTGTATCGAAAGTCACTACCTGATGACATCACCATTCTTTGTAACAGGTTAGAAAGTCATTGGTCTTTTGACATCGGTTAGGCAATTTTAAAGATTTCCCACATAAATTACCGCCTACAAACACTTCGTTATTGTCGGGTGGTTGTTCCTGGTCCATAGATACATGTTGATAAGAAGTTTTTATCTGATATTTCTACATTTAAAAGCTGAGCATCCACAGACCCATTAATGTATTCTTTGTTAGGAGTGGTCCTAATTTTGAATCTGTTCGTTTCGAATGCTGCATATATACACACACCTCCAGCAGCTTGTGAACTCCTGTCTGCTCTAAACAGGTTGTATACAGGCATAAAGATTAAAGTGTCTGATATAATTTGCTAAGTCATGTATCCATGATTAGCAGGAAGGTTGGTTTCTCTTTGGCAAGCAGTGCATGAATTTCTTGTTTGGGACGAGTGGAGAAAATGTTCGTGTAATAGAATGTGACGTCTGTAAGCGGAGTTCTTATAGTTTTTTGGTTGGGTTTATTGCTTAGTTTTGTTACAGT